GTTTGCTGTTTTCATTTGCTTCTTTGGGTTTTGTTACTATTTCATCCCAATGTTTAGTTTTTAGTGGATCAAGCTTTACCCACATTGATAGCCATAAATAGTTTCATTGTATGTGTTACATTAATTAAAATGATATATCATCATGGTTGAAAATTGAAGTACCTAATTTTAAATGTTTGATATTTTTGAAGGGATGTATAAATTTCCTAGATGTGATCCTTATAGGCAGAAGAGTGTGACCCTTTTTGGAGGAGTACTAAGATAAGGGGAGAGCATATCATATATGAATTCTCCAGCTTTTAGCAGTGAACTATTTATGCATTTTTAGCGAAAGAATTATCACATCAGACAATTGTCCCCTCAGTGTGCTCCGTAGTAATATATGGATTTTTGAGGGACATTATTAGTATTTGCTTGGTTTCTGTCTTGGGACAAGTTGGAATTGAATAGACATTTGAAACAATCATTGTTTTAGGAAAATTTAAAAAAATTAAAGTTTTTTTGTTAACAATATCAAAAAAAGATTTTTTTGTGTGCTTTAATTTGAGGAGAAATAATTTCACAAGTCAGTTTTTAGAGTTACAGATGTAAGCATAATCATAATTTTTACTATTTGCATTTATGTACTATTATAGCAATTGGCTGGCAGGTTTTCATGGAAGAAGAAAATTTTTGGTGATGCTGGGGATTGAACACAGGGCCTTGTACTTTCTACCACTTAGCTACTTCACCAGCCACAGAAGAATGTTTTTTGTTACTGAATTTAACATGTAACCTAAACTTGATTAACAGGCAGTAGCATAATATTAATTATAGATAACATGCGATGTCATATGGTGACTGTTTCAGCTTTTTAGCATTAATTAAGAGACAAAGTCTTCCATTCTGGCCTCAAATTTTTGATCTTCCTGCCTCAGCCTCCTATACGCTGGGACCACAGGCATGTACCACCAGTCCCAGGTTTTAGCTTTTGGAGCTCTACATCAAAGCAGTGCTGCTGGGATCATTTACTTGGATTTAATATTTAGAATGAAAAATATATGATCATTTTTTACTTCTTAATCCAGTAGTTATATATGAATGTATCTAACAAGCCAGTGGCAGCATACTACAGTAGTCCCTTCCTGTTATCCATAGGGGCTATGTTCCAAGACCCTCAATGGATGCGTGTCTCTGTGGATAGAACTGAATCCTTTGTTTATGTTGTACTGTGTTTTTTTCCTATACACACGATAAAGTTTCGTTCATAAATTAGGCAGAGATTAACAATAATAAGATAGAATAATTATAAGAACATACTGTATAAAAGTTTGCTCATTGGCCCCGTTTAATTAAAAAAGGGCTTGTTTGAACACACTGTGATACCGAGACAGTTGATAACTAAAACAGCTACTGAGTGACTAATAGATGGGTAGTATATGTACAATATAGATACACTGGACAAAGGGATGACTTATGCCCTTGGTGGGATAGAGAGGGGTAGTGCAAAATTTCATCCTGCTACTCAGAAACAGCATGGGATTTCAAACTTACGAATTGTTTATTTCTGGAATTTCCCATTTAATATTTTTAGACAGTGGTTGGCCAAGGTTAACTGAAACCATAATAAGCCAGAGAATGGATAAGAGGGATTCCTGTATACACATGAACCTATTAAGAGAAGTGGTTTTGTTTTAATATGTATTATTCACTCTATTTATAAATGTGATAGCTTAGTTTTCAGTAAGGAGAAGCAGAAGCTAGTTGTTTCTGGTTACCTTTTTTTTTCCTCCCAGAAGGAAAATAGTGATGGAGACTTCATGCAAATTTCATTTTTATCCTTTATCATCCAAACACTGTTAGAATAGCAGTTCTTTTATGGTAGTTACAGAGAATACATGCATGTGATAAAGGCCTCAAAGTTTTTCTTTGATGCTAGGTGAGAGCTCCACCTTGTGATCTTTGAGTATATTTTTGAAAAATACTAATAACCTGCCCAGAAATGACTTTTGATTTTTAAGCTCACACTTTCATTTAAGCATTACATATTCTTACAGTTTTAGATTTCCTATCTTAGGTCAAATGGTATTAATCACATTGAAGACATTGTTTATGAGTTTTGTATTGCTAAATCTTTGGGGTAAGCACATTGTTTTTATATGCAGGTGTAGACATTTGAAATAAAAACAAAACATTCTCAGCTCTTTCTTTAAGGTTTTCTTTCTTTAAAAAATTCCTATTGCCAACTTACTATTAGGATTCCCTCTAAATTGCAAAGTAACTTTAATGTCATTTTTGTTGAGTTTTGGTAGCAAGCAAATCATTAAAATAGTAAGACTCACCAAGATACATGAAATTTAGCATTCTATGTTTAATAATATTAGATGGTAGTAGAGGTAGATGCTTTCTAACAGAAATAAATGTTTTCACATACTGTGTGTAGGTAGGTTCATAAGGGCATAGATCATTGCTCTCTTGTTGACTACTGTATTCCAAGTGTCCAAATGGCAGTTTGAAAGGCCAGCCTAGCAAAAAGTTAGGGAGACCCCATCTCAACAAATAGCTGGGTGTGGTGATGTGCGCTGTCATCTCAGCTACACAGGGAAGAAGAATAGGAGGAACATGGTCTGGGCTGGCCTGGGCAAAAAGCAAGACCGTATCTGAAAAATTACTAAAGCAAAAAGGGCTGGCTGGGGGCATTGCTTAAGTGGTAGAGTGTCTGCCTACCACGTACAAGGCCTTCAAACCCCAGTACTGCCAACAAAAAACAAAGTTTTGGACTTTGGAGGATTTTTTCTTTTTTTTTTTTTTGGATTAGTGGTACTCAACTAGTATAGCCTTTGCTGTGCAAAATAATTCAACCTGGCATAGCTTTTTACTTTACACTAGGAATTATTTCTGTGATATTTAGAGAATTGTATTTATCACGTTTGTTTTAGTGCTGTTTGCTTTTCAGAGTGGATACATTCTTTACATTCCTTAAGATAGTCTATTTGTAAAATAATCTATAAAGTCTGCATGTAAACAGTGTTGAAGGAAAGTAGCAAGTTTTGGATTAGGAGTAGGGGTGGGTTTGGGAGTGAAACCACTGTTAAGAATGATGTCTACCACTGAGCTCCAGAAAGTTTTGATTTTCATGAAGTGGTCAGAGAGGTAGACACACACACAGCATGGATTACATGGCCACTTTTTATTTCCCTCTTGCTATCTGAATGACTTGATTCATTGGTTAGTATTTTTTAGGTCTGTCTTCCCAGCTCCCTTACAAAAATGAAATAGTTTTCTTTTAAAAAGTTGGGTAGGATTTTAGGAGACAAAGGTATGTTCTGCATGTGATGACAAACCTCAGAACTGTGGTGTACTACTTAGACAATTCCTTTGGGCATAATAACAATACAGTTAGATTAACATTTATGGTCTTGGAAGGGAACAGTCCTGGGGCAATAATTTAGGGCAAGGGGATGACCATATGATTTTTGCAATGTGAGTACCTTTCAGATAAAAGGTAAGCTAAGTGATAATAGGTAATTCCTGATTACTTGGGACTTCATTTGCAGATTATTCATTTTTGTTTTCTCCTAGTACGTGATTTGTTATTTTGCTGCTTACAAAATATTTTTGTAAAGAAAAACCAACATTTTAGTTGTTTTAACCTAAGTAGAGTATGCTAGAAAATAAATTTCTTTTTTGTGGTACCAGAGTTTGAACTCAGGGCCTCAGGCAAGCCTACCTCAAAATACAGTGTTTTGAACTTATGTATGTTAATAAAATGAGTGGGTATTTATGATGAGAGATTTGAAATGGATGGAAAAATTGAACCATCTTTTTCTAGTATATGGTATCGTTAGGTGAAATCACTAGAATTTCATCAATTATGTTATGTTTGAGGATTCATTATTAATTGCATATGTTTAGTCTCACCTGCTTATTCTTGAGGTGGTCACCAAGTTCTAGATTCTTTGGGAATAAGAGAAAAACATAAGGTCGAAAATTATAAGAGAAGGTATGCATGAGACTAAGGTTCATATCTTAGCTTATAGACTGGTCATTTGCTATTTGGTCATTCTTTCATTTAAGAAATAGCATCTGTGATCTCCTAAGCTAGAAATACCTTTCCTATGGCCACACTTGCACTTATTTTGGTTACAAGTATCATTCTTTCTTGTTTTTGAGACGAGGTCTAGTTATATAGCCTAGGCTGGTCTCGAACTTATGACCTTCCTGCCTCTGCTTCCCCGCCCTCCCCCTAGTACTGGGATTATAGTTGTTTGCCACTGCATCCAGCTACAAGTGGCATTCTTAGGTTATCTGTGTGACTTCCCCTCCCCCTTTTTTCACTGTACTGGTGACCAACTCCAGGATCTTGAACATGCTAGGCAAAATATGACATTCATGATGTTTAAATTGATTGTAAGTTCCTTGAGAGGAATAGATCAGATCTGATGTCTTTTTCTTTTGTTTCTCAACACAGTGTGGTATCATGAAGGGGTAGAGTTGTTTATTAGTAAGCCTTTACACTGTTTCCTCAAGAGTAGAAATAAGTGTTTTTAAATAATATTTTAGGTTTTTAAATTAGCTCCTTTTAAACATACCTGTTTTTATCATCAGCAAAAAGCTGTAAATTTTTAGGCATCTAGTATTATGGCTTAAAGTCTTCATTGGTATTTCAGGACCAGTAAAAGCGTCACGTCTTGCTTCTTTTTAGAGGGTGTGTGTGTGTGTGTGTGTGTGTGTGTGTGTGTGTCTGTGTGTAGTGCCAGGCTAGAGAATCATAAGAAATTTCAAACATAATTAATACCCCCCCTCCCCCCACAGTGTGGTGTTGTTATGGTTGAGCCGCAAGAGTGCTAACAAATTACTATCTAGAAAAAGCAGTCAAATGCTGCAAGGAAGGGTAAAAAATCCTTATTTACTAAAACATTTTAGCAGACATTGGGAAATTTAGTTTTTAAGTATTGATATCCTTTCCTAATAGTTGTGGTATGTTTATAATGAACATGTCATTTTTCTTGTCTTTAAAGGAATTGTTTTCTCAGAAGTAAACCATCATTTTATTCACATAAATATATGAATATATTTCTGACATTGAGGTGTTCCAGAAGATGATAAAGAAATGATAGCAGCTCCAGAAATACCAACTGATTTTAATCTACTACAGTAAGTACATCATATTGTGATTTTTTTTCTTGAGACAGGGTCTTGCTATGTAGCCCAGCATATTGCCATTCTTTTACATTCTTATTTTTCCTATACAATGGAAAATCGTGGCACTGGAGTTTGAAGTCAGGGTCTTGTGCTTGGTAGGTAAGTACTCTATCAATTGAACCACACCTCCAGCCCCCAGAGTGTGATTTTTAATGTGATTGTAATTCTATCATGTATTTAAATGTATTTTAAGATTCATGAGAAAAATTTCTTTTTTGTTTTTTTCAGAACTGGGGTTTGAACTCAGGGCCTTATGCTTGCTAGGCATGTGCTCTGCCACTTAAGCCACTCTACCAGGCCTTTTTTGTGTTGGAATTTTTTGAGACAGGGTCTTGCTTTTTGTTGTTGTTGTCTGAGCTGGTTTTGAACCAGGATCCTTCTGATCTCTGCCCCCTGAGTAGCTAGGATTACAGATGTGAATCACTAGTACCTGGCTAGTTTCTTGTTTTTTATTTAATTGTTTTACTTTGCTTGTTCAGAATTATCAAGGACATCAAGATTTCCCAATCTATCATCTTTAGTGAGAATTCTACATATTCCAAGTCTTTAATTTCTTTGTAAATATGAATTATTACCTTTACTAAAAATATTAAGTTTGCTGTATATAAGACATTATATTAGGTTCTTTGAGGAATTAAGTTAGATACTTCTGCATTTATGAGCTCTTATTTTAAAGATATAAAGCGAAGACTGTGAAATTTCTTAAATACATTAAGATTAGAGACTATTTAAAACTGTGTATATTATAGACTAGGCTATTGACTACTAGATATCTTAAGTAATTAGGAGCTGAAATAGGATAATGGATAAATGAGAATTGAATTATGATGGTAGAATAAATCTAGCATTTGGTTGGTATGTGGGGTGGGAGTGCCATGAAGAATGTAAGATTCAGTCATGTGATACATGACTGCAGTTTCAAACCACTAAAGGATTAATTTGGCATTCCTCATCAACATATAAATATGTTATTTTACCTAGGGTGTAGCTTATTGTTTTTAGTTTGATTTTTAAAACCCAGTAAAGTATTGGAGAAAGATTTAGGATAGTGTTTTTTCACTTGTTGGTTATTTTAGACTCCTATTCTGATTATTCACTTCAGCTTTTTTCAGAAGGCTTTTGCTTAGTAATAAAACCCCCCTGTAGCTTATTTTTGTAGTTGGGGTGACCTGGAGAATTAAAAATGTAATTGAACTTTTTATTACTCTGTGGCTGTTGGAATATTGTGAAGACTAGTGGTTGTTCGAAGACTTTTAACAATTACTGGGGCAAGACAGCTGGTGTCCCACATGTATTTTGGGAAGAAAGAAATCTTATTTATGCATCAAGATATTTAAATTTTTATCATGTCATAGGCATGTGAGAAGAATATTGATGAAAACAGTCTTTTTAAGATGTAACAAGTATGAGTTTCAGGGTTAGTAGTTACACAGTTTTTGGTGCATTAACTCTAAGAAATAGTACTTATTATGGGTCCTTTCCTTTTAACATGATAGGACATAGCTAAGAGTCCCACTGTTTTCAATATATTGCTTAAATTACTTTGTGAGTTAAGTGCTATAAATTATAATTTTTTTCTGCTAGCATCATAACCATTATTTTAGATTTATGAAGTATTCCTTCCTCACAGCTCCCAGATGCTGGTTTTTGTAGTAATAAAAATGGAAAGAGAAAAAAACTAGATTGAGAACAGTAGCTTTATAAGAATAACCTTTTCCTTTGATTCCATTTACTTTAAGCAAAACTGGCACTATGTTTACACATTTAGAGTGGTAAAACTTTTATCTTTTATGGAACTGGCTTAATTCTAAAAGTTCAGTGTTATTCATGTATAAAGGTCAGTATGTCTTCCTTTCAGCATTTAACAAGGATATGTGACTACTTAGACCCATGTTTACACATATAGAAAACATCACACATGTTAATTTAAACCAGTCTGCTTCTGTATGTGTGTGAGGAAATCCAGATTATACAAAGTGGCCCCACCTCCTCCTAAAACAAAGGCCAGCACTTTAGATTGTGTTGGAGATTGAGGAGACTTTTCAGAGATTTTGTTTTTTCCTGCATGTATATTGTTATAGATGAGAAGATTGAGATGATATTTGTACAAGATCATATAGTTACTTGGTGCTAGAATTGTTTCTCCTGACTAGCTCACTTTTTGCTTCATAAAGAATTCTGAGCAATTAACATATTTCTCTACTGTATTTCAAATGATTTAGTTGATAAAAATGTTTTATACATCCTTTCAGAAACACACACCCACCTTTTTGAGTGAGGTAGGAGGGTTCATAGGATCCATAATATTGCTAAAATTCCCTAATAAAATTTATCTAATGTTGAGTATTAAAATATAGTTTTCCCTAACCACTATGGTCCTTGAACCAGAAAATGGAACCAGCGATTACAATAGAGCACCACAATTCCTGGGTTAAATTAGAGAGTCATTGGTTTAGTTATGCTTTGATTAAAAATTAACAAAGCATACAAATATTTAGATATTTCTACTTTAGATTACTGTTTTGTGTTGATTGTTATGTTTGGTAATGTACTATGGTATGTTTTAGGAAAGCATCTTAATTACTTTCAATGCTAAACTGAGTTTCATAATGACTCATCCATGCTTTTCTTTTAGAAAGTGTTGCAAAAAATTGAAACTCCCCCATCTACATTTTTAAGGAAGGTTTTAAATATTTACTTATCTTTTTGTTACAGAGAGTCAGAAACACATTTTTCTTCTGATACAGATTTTGAGGACATCGAAGGAAAAAACCAAAAGCAAGGCAAAGGAAAGGTATGTACCAAATACGTGACTTTATTTTGGTTCTTAAAATTTTGCGTGTTTGTGTGTAAGAGAGAATTTTATCTTTTAAAAATAGCTGTTTTGGGGACTGGGTATATGGCAAGACTTCTGAATATACATGGTCTTTTTTGCTTTCAGACTAAATAGCTTTTGATTATCTATATGCATTGCAGGAAAGTTGAAATTAACAAAACATTGTTTCCGTATTTGGTAAAAGCATAGTACAATAAGAAAAATCTGGTTTTACTGGGTTTATTTTTATTTTCTCATAAATATATTATAAATATTCTATTTCTCAAATTATAGAGCAAGCAATACTTGAACTTCCTCATTCTAACATAACAACCAATTTATGTCCAACAGGTATCATTTTACCATTTATAATGTCAAAGATAAAAACTAACAAAGTTAAGGTCAACAGTTAAAAGTTTTAGAGTGTGAGTAGGGTTATGAGAGAGCTTTGGACAACTTGGTGAATGGTTAATTCACGCTGCTGTTTTGGAAAGTATATTTGATTCTGCATGCATATAAACACATTGTTCAAAAGATGACTTGTGTTTGATTTTGTCAGCATTTTTTTTCCAAAATGAATTTTGGATTTGTTTTCTTATGACATACTTTGAAAAAGTCTAAACTCTACAGAAATGTAAAATTCACAGTGAACTTGTCCCATAATCCTCCAATCCAGAAGTTACTTATTCTTTAGAAATTTTGATGAGTATACTTTTATACGTAAACCTGATTTACTTAAATGCAGCTATGCTATGCCAACTATAACAGTGGTTCTAAAATTCAATGATACATTGTCAACAACTTTTCCATCAGGGAATATAACTCTTTGTATTTTTTTTTTCTTTTGGTGGAGCTATAGTTTGAACACAGGGCTTCACTCTTGCAAAGCAGGTACTCTACTGCTTGAACCACACATCCAGTCCAATTTTGCTCTGGTTATTTTGGAGATTGGATCTCACAAACTATTTGTTTGGGCTGTCCTCAGATTGTATCTTCCTGATCTCCGCCTGCTAAGTAGCTAGGATTATAGGTGTGAGCCACCGAGAACTGCCTTTTTGTAATTTTTAATGATGGCATACATTTTTTTTATATGAAACATTTATTTAATAAGCTGTTGGAATTTTTTTAAATGCTCATAATTCATCTGTTCATAATTTTGTGTGCTGATTAGTTCCTTAACAAGTAGTTTTGAGAGGGGTGTGTGTGAATGCAAATGCCAACTCAGGAATATCCCAAATAAACATATCTGTAATTCTAGTGAGCAGTATTAGTCTACTTTTACCACTGAGTTAATTCACAGGTTGACACAAGATCACCCCCCACACACACCCATACACAGTACTACCATCTGAATTATGAAATTGCATGTCATCCTTGTGCAGGGCTGTGCTAATCTTCTCTGTATCATTCCAATTTTAGTTTATGTGCTGCTGAAGGAAGCACCTTTCTGAAGGTGTTTTTTTCTTTCCTCTTTCCCTCCCTCCTTCCCTTCCTTTCCCTCCCTCCCTCCCTCCCTCCCTCTTTATGGTTCAGGGGATTGAATCCAGTGTCTTTCCCGGATGCTGAACATACTCTCTAACATTGTGCTACATTCAGCACCTCTAAAGTTTTTATTTTTTTTGACACAATTTGGTTAACTGTATGTAGCCACTGCTGTGAGTAGGAGTTAGGGGGTCAGATAGAGGATTTATTATAAGAGGAACTACATGTTTTCCTTTTTATTAGCATACATTAATTGTATGGGGGAATTCATTGTGACATTTCTGAAGAGCCTTATGTTGTACATTGGTTAGGTTAGCTCCCACCATCTCTCCTTACCTCCTCACCTCCTCCCCACCCCATCTAAGACAATTACAGAATGTTTCAATGTTCTATTTCATGTATGTATACAAAGCATATTGACCATATTCACCCTCCTTCACCTCCTTTCACCCTCCCCACCTCCATGAAGTACCCACCCACCCCACAGGACCCATTTTACAGTCCTGTCCTTCATTTTTATCTCCAAAATCAGTGTTCAAATGTGTTTTTCAATGTATCTCAGCTGTGACTATAATGTACTTTTGGTCATTTCTACCCCTCTGTTCTTCTGCCTTACCCTTTCCCTCCTAACCCCTATTATTCAACAGCTTTAGGTACATATTGTTATTGCGCAGATGCAGTGTAGGAACTACATTTTAACACTACTGTGTACCAGGCACTTTAGTGACAGTTTTACCTATGTTACCTAGTTACATTTTAAATTAAGCTGGAAAAATTGCTTATATCATAGATAGGAAAGTAAAGTCTGGAGATGCTCAGCAGTTAAAGGATTTTAGTTTGGGTGTGTGCTTTAATCTACTATACTATATCACCTCCTAAAGTTTTTTTTTTTAAAAGGTTCTTCTTTTAGTACTTAAGACTGTACCAAGTTAGTATGTTTACTTCTTATACTTCCCTTGTTTTATTACTTCTTACACATTTTTCCTCTAATATAGCATATTCATTGAAGCATTTAAATTGAACTAACTAGTTTTTCATACTGACAGGGAATATTGAGACATGATATATAAATTGAAAATATATTGCTCCATGTTACCATTATAATGTACTCTTTGTAGTGGATCATTCAGCCTTCTTTGAAATTCCTTTTACTGAGTACAAATGCCTTTCATTTTACAACTGGGAATTAATTACTTAGGTTCATAGAGACAGAATTTTATTAACAAAATCTAGCAGGTAATATCTGTCAGGTGTTGGGAAGGGGTATGAAGTAACTGTTTGGGGTAGGGTAGTTTTGGAATCTTGAAGGCACACAGACTGTCAGTAGAAATAAATTTGTAGGCATGGTTGTAGGTCAGGGGTTTACAAGGTATGGCCTGCTTTTGTACTATCTACATAGTAACAATGGCTTTTGAAAGAGTTGTAAAAATGATCTGTGGCAGATATGGTCTGTGGCCCAAAAAACCTAAAATATATATCTGGTACTTTACAGAAAGTTTGCTGACCCTTGCTCTCTAGTTCACAGAAACGTGTAAGTCTGAAAGAGACCTTGAAATCATCAAATGCAGGGGTGAGAAAACCTTTTCTGTAAAGTTTTAATCGAGCTCTGTCATTTTAGAAATGACTTCTTTCTTCTTTAACAAGGTATGAAATCTGTGGGAGCATGAGTTGTAAAGCACAGAGAACCCTTTACAGATTTATGAAGCTCTTACACCTAATACTGACACCTTTCTTATAATGGTGCTTCATTTCTTAGTGCTCATTAATTGAATTTTCATGGTAAGTCTTGGAGAGATGGCCTAGGACAAGAATGAGATTTGTCATACTGTTCAGAATTGCTTGTTTAGTGTAATACAAATGATTGATAAGGCAAGCAATAGAAATAAAGTTAAAATGAAGAGCTACATATGATGACTTACTTGATAAGAGTTTTGCTATTCTTGCTGCCCATTTCACCCTAAGACAGCATAAGGGCCCATGATAAAGCTTGACGATAGCTACCATGATTTAACTACACTGTAGGAAATTCTCTGATTATGCTTTCAAAGTCTTTTTTACTGTGCTTTTCAAACTTAGTTGATATGTTGAGAGCGTCTTATGCTGTTATTTTACAAATATGGAAATTGGTTCATACCTCCTTGGTCTTTTCAGCAGACATAGATTCAAGTAACATTTATTGAGCTTCTTTTAATGTATATTTTCTCATTTTATAGTGATAACAACAGCAGACATTTTTGACTTTATTATGTCCTGGATGTGTTGCAGTTAAATACTTTCATCATTACAGCAACCCTATGAGGGACTGCATAGTTTTATCTTCTATTTTACAAATTAGAAAAAAGTCTCCAAAACACAGCGTGGTTAAATAATTTGTCCAAGATTACTCAGTAGGAATTTGGACCAACCTAGTCTGTCAGCAGAGGCTACCCTCCTAACTATAGTATAATGTGAGGTTCATGATAATATAAAAGGAAAAAAAAATTTTAGATCACAAAGAAGCTGTTGCAATCATAATTTTCTTACAGTACTTGTGGATGACATTCTCCTATAAGTTGGCTGCTTTTCCAGTATCTTTGTTTTGAACTTTGCAGGTTAGTGATACAACTTAACCAACTTGTATTTTTTTATGTAGACTTGTAAAAAAGGCAAAAAGGGCCCAGGAGAAAAGGGCAAAGGAGGAAATGGAGGAGGAAAACCTCCTGGTCCAAACCGAATGAATGGTCATCACCAACAGAATGGAGTGGAAAACATGATGTTGTTTGAAGTTGTTAAAATGGGCAAGAGTGCCATGCAGGTAATATTTATGGTGTCTTAGCAGTTTATTTGTAAATGTTTTGAACTTTAGCGACTCAAATGAAGTATCACCCTGATTTTTCTGTTTGTCTTGAGTCATTTTCTGTTGCTTGATTTTATTTGGTGGGACTGGGGTTTGAACTCAGAGCTTTGCGATTCCAAAGCAGGCACTCTACCACTTGAGCCATGCCTCTAGTCCATTTTGCTCTAGTTATTTTGGAGATGGGATCTCACGAACTATTCGCTTAGGCTGGCCTTGAACTGCAATCTTCCTGATCTCAGCCTCCCAAGTAGCTAGGATTGCAGGTTTGAGCCACTAGTACCCGACTTTATTTTATTTTAATGTCATAAGGTTAAAAAAAAAAAGTTGGTTGAAAAATACCGTGAAGTCAACCCTGGTTTTGAGGTTTCCCTGAATAGCTGCCCATACAGAATTCTTAGGTTTTTTTGGTAGCACTGGGTTTGAACTCAGGACCTAATGCTTGCTAGATGGGCACTCTTACCGCTTGAGCCACTCCACCAGCCCAAATTTTTAGTGTTTTTTTTTTTTTAGTGTAGACCTCATCACAGTCTACATTAGAAAATTAAATTATTTTGTACACTGTTGTCCATTAGAAATTTTATTTTTTGTGCCTGTTTCTTAACAGACGAGTAAAAATGTTTGAGGCACATCCAGTGTCAAATTATCCTAATTGTTTTTCTGCATAATTTCATGACATTAGAAACACTTTGGCTTTACAATGTTGCCTAAATGTATAAGGTTTTAAAAAGTGTAATATTACTTTTTCTAGGGGCAGTACAAGTGCTATACCAATTGAGTCATGTCTCTAGTCCTTTTTACTTTAGTTATTTTTCAGATAGGATCTCTTGGTTTTTCCCCAGTCTGGTCTCAGACCAAGATCCTCCTACTTAAGCCTCTCATATAGTTAGTCTTACAGATGTGCACCACATGCTTGGCTTATTTGTTGAGATGGGGGTCACAATAAATTTTTGCCCAGGCTGGCCTGGGGTGGCAATTTTCCTGATTTCCTCCTCCTCCCAAGTAATGGGATTACATGTGTGAACCACCTTGGTGGGCCTTTTTTATTTATTTGTTTGTTTGTTTGTTTGTTTATTTGAGATGGACCTCTTGCATTGTTGCCTAGGCTACAGGCTGGTCTTGAATTCCTGGCTCAGCGATCTTCCTACCTCAGCCTCTTGAGTAGCTGGGATTACGAGGTACACACCACCACCATACACATCTTAGAGTATACATACTTAGTAAAGTTTTGTTTTACTTATTAAAGCTATGGGGAAGTTTTTCCTCATTGAATTAAAATCTTTGGTGCACAAGAGTGGTTTTCTGAGAACTAGTCATTTAGGCTTTTTGTTATTAACCAACTGAAATGCAAAACTTCTTAAATATATAATTATCGAAATATGTGTGGTTTTATAAATGAAAATTAAAACATCAGTTGGGACTCACAAAGAACAATTTTACATATAAAATGTAAAAATACTTACTAGGTGTTTAAGCTTTCAACAGTTTAAAAAGCAAGGAACTTGATACCAGATTCATTTATAACATTCTAGTTCACTTATATTAAGTTTGCTTTTCTATAGTTGAGAATAGGTGTGACTTTTTTCTTGTTTAATTTTTTAAATGATTATTTTAAATTCACTCTGGATTTTTTTTTCAGTTGTGTTGGGGATCAAATGTACATGAACATCTGACTTAAAAAAAAAAATGAGCTTTGCCCTTTGTTTATTTAGTCATTCCCTGATACAAAAATTTACCTCCCTCTCTCCAGTTCCCCTTTTGATTAATTTTATCACATTGTATCAGTTACATTATACTCTTACTTCATTACTTTCCTTTTTTATTTTTCACTCAAGTATTTTGCTGTTAACCAAACACATTCATCTTTATATATTTTCTGATATCTTTTGTTTTTGTTAATATTAGTGTCTTAGTCCAATTTGTATTGCTACAAAAATAACATAAAATGGGGTTGGAGCTTGGCTTAAGTGGTAGAGCGCTTGCCTAGCATGCATGAGGGCCTGTGTTTACTCTGTAGTAACACCAAAAAAAAAAAAAAAACCAACCACAAAAAAACACCACATAAACCGTGTGTCAAGTAAAAGAAATTGGTTTCTTATATTTCTGGAGACTAGGAAGTCCAGGATCAAGGTGCTGGAAAATTTCATTGTCTGGTGAGGGCCTGTTTTCTGATTCATAGATAGCCCCCTGTCATTGTGTACTGACATGGTGGAAGGGGCAAGGCAGTTCCCTGGGGCCTCTTTTATAACGGCATTAATCCTATTCATGAAGGCTCTACGATCTAATCCTTTCCCAAATGTTGTACTTCATAATACTACCACATGGGTGATTAGTGTTCAACACATGAAGTTTGGAGGGGTGGGATAGAAACCACTAGAAATTTCAACTTAAAACCATGGCTAATCAGGCTGTTTTACTTTTGTGTAGTGTTTAAGTTTTTTTCTTGGTTCATCAACATTTTTATAGTGTATAGTGAGGGTTTAGCTTCATATTTTTTTGTTAATGGTTATCTCAGTGTTTAAAGACTGAACACTTTCCATATTTTTGTGTTGCTTATAGTTTGTCCCTTATTAAAGAAGATTATGCCTCCATATCATTTGTTTTTTTCTGTTTCTAAATTTATTTCTACGTTATAAGGGAAATGCCTGTAGCTTCTCTCCATTGATTTCCCTCTCAATCTCCAGTTTGTTCTGTGTTTTTCCATTTGTGTTAACTTTTCTAATACCAAGTTTGCTTGAGAAAGTCCCCTGTTTAGAAATAGAGTTCTTCCCTAGCAGTCCAAGAGACCAATGCAAATACATGGTCTTTTTGTCCTTGCCTTGGGTGTATCACTCCACTGTGTTCCAGGGAAAAGAATATAGACCTTACCTCTTGAAGAGCAATGTCTAGGCAGGTGCTCTTAGTGCTTGAGCCACTCCACTAGCAGACAATGTCTAAAAATTTGGGGCATGATTTTTTAAAACTATCACAGTTCCATAATCTCTTTTTGTTTTTACTTGTCTGTATCATATTAGGGCAAACTTTAAAAAATTTTTTTTCATAAATTGTATTGCTTGACATAAACCATTTATAAACTATAGAAAAGGATTCAATTGTAGAAGTTAAATGTGTTAGCTGGATATGATGGCATACTTGGGAGGTGGAGGCATGAGAATCTTGAGTTCAGGACTAGCTGGGGCAAAGGTAGTGGTGAGACCCGGTCTCAAAAACAATAAAAACAAAAGGACTGTGGGTAGAGCATAAGTGGGAGTGCTAGCCTAGCATGCACATGGCCCTGGGTTCACCACATAAAAAAGAAAAGAAATGAAAAATGTAAAAGTATGTTAGTTTAGTTTTTTGTTACTGTAACAAATACCTAAGATAATCAGTTTTTAGGAGGAAAGGTTTATTTTGGCTACTGGTTTCAGAGGTTTCAGTCCATTCGACACTCCCATTGCCTTTGGGCAAGGAGAGTGGGATGGAGCAAGCTGCTCTAATTCATAGGAGCTAGAAACAAAGGAAGAGGCTGCTGTTCCACAACTGCCTTCAAGGGCATGCCCCCAACAATCTGAAGCCTCTTACTAGGTCCCAACTCTAAAAGTTTCTCCTACCTTCCAATCAATAGTGCCTTTAACATGTGGACTGCTTGAGGGACATTTCCTATCCCAACTATAGCATTAAGGAAAGAAAAATTAAAGGTATAAATCCATTAGTTTTTAGATGTTCACAAAATTGTGCAGCTTCCATCACAATCTTAATTTTAGAACATTTTGAAAATCCCAGGAAGAATATTCGTGTCCATTAGCATCCTTAGAAGTAGGCTTCCACTAACCTACTTTCTATATTTTTGTCTATTCTGAACATTTCAAACAAATGAGATAATAAAATTTGTGGTTCTTTATGAGTGTTTTCTTTGATTTTAACATAATAACTATCAAGGTTCATCCATGTTGTAACCTGTATTATAATGTAATTCCTTGGAATTGCTATCATGGATTTTACCACATTTTGTTTATTCAACCCTTGTTGTACATTTTGATCCATTTTGGCTACATTTTGAATAGTGTTGTGCAAATGTTTAGACATACGTTTTCATTTCTCTTGGGTAATACATACCTGAGAGTCAAATTGCTGTGTCATATGGTAACTATATTTAACTTTTTGAGGGGCTGCCAACTTGTTTGTCCAAAATTGCTGCACCATTTTACATTCTCACTAGCAGTGTTTTTTTTTTTTTTTTTGTGGTACTAGAATTTGGACTCAGAGCCTCATGCTTGCTAGGCAGATGCTCTACCGCCACTCCACCAGCCCTTTTTTTGTGTTGGGTATTTTCAAGATAGGGTCTTACAAACTATTTGCCTACGCTGGTCTGCAACCACTATCCTCATGATCTCTGCCTCCCAAGTATGTAGGATTATAGGTGAGAGCCACTTGGCACTTGGCTACCAGTGATGTTTTGAGTGCTCCATTTTTCCACATCTTTGCTTATTTCTCTTGTATTTTTTGTATTTTTTTATTATACTTATTCTAGGTTATGTGACATAGTTACCTCATTTTGGTTTTGATTTGCAGATCCTTGATGGCTAGTGATTTTTTTAAGGTGCAAATTCATTGGTTTTTAGATATACACAGAATTGTGCAGCTACTATTTATAGATTAGTTCTGCAATATTGTCTCTAGATATATGAACTATGTTACTTTGCTTTGATCCATATTAGTTTTAATTTGCCTTTTTTACATAGAATTGTTAGTGACTACCATTGAAAAAATCTTACTTTTTTTACATTTACTCATTGACCCAGGCCTTTACCTTTGAAATATTTTTAAGTTTTGATTTCATTGTTATGTTAATATTTCTATTAAAAAATAGCCTACATAAATTATATATATTGATGGAATTCAGTGTGATATTTCAACACATACTCATAGTGTATACCAATTACATCTAGCCTCTTTATTTACCTCACCCTTCCTTACCCTCTAGAAATCACTATTCTACATTTACGTTGGCTTTAAAATATTGTTCATTATTATATCTTAGTGAAGAAGAAATATGAACGTGACTTTAATGTTTTCTAGGATATTGGATGTGTTACCAAGCAATAATTATACTTTATAGAATTGAGTCCCATATTTACTTGTTGGTTTTCTTTTAATGCCAAATAAACAGACGTTCTGTCATTTTATTTTATCAGGTAATTGTTTTAGTGAATTCGACTCTATTTCATTACTGTTAAAATTGAAATTTGAATTTCAATATAAAAGTGTATCTTAATTTAATGTCATATGACATTACTGTTGAATTTTTATGACTTTAGCCAGAATTAACTCATTCTTAACACATCAGAAAAAGCTAATGATTTTATTTTTTTTCCCCTCTGCTCTAGTCGGTGGTAGATGATTGGATAGAATCATACAAGCATGACCGAGATATAGCACTTCTTGACCTTATCAACTTTTTTATTCAGTGTTCAGGCTGTAAAGGTAAGATACATTTATTTTGGAAGCAGAAGCTCTCCAGTAGTCACTTTGTTTCTTGTTCTTCCTAAAGAAATGTTAACTCTTTACATGGAAAATAATGTCAGGGTAGTTCATTGTTTGCATTATATCCGTACATAATGTAGAAGGAAGAAAAGCAAAGAGCAAAGTAAGAGCAAAAGTCTGTTGACACAATTATATTCATGTGTGAAATCTAACTTGGCAGTTTATAATTGATATGTTACTTTATTAGATATATTTCCCACTTTCAGCATCTGGTTTTAGGAACAAAGAAATGGAACTAAGAAGGGAGGATGATGATAATGGTGACATAAAGGGTCAAATGGCAGGAAATTGTGATGTGTAGGGAATTAAAAAGTGCTGTGAATAACAGTAAGAATGTGTGTGTGTATGGTACTGGTGAAACTGCAAATTCTTCTTGTGAAAGGTAGAGAAATTTTCAGTGTTTTTACTTAATTTAAAAAGATTCTGAAGTAGGAGTAGAGAAGTACAAAAATATAGAAATTTCTTCCCTAGGACAAAAATATTTAGGACAGGCATTTGGCAAGGGGACAAAATTATGTAAGTTGGGGAGTCATGTACATCCTCATCTGGATCAGTAAATGAGTCAGTCAAGATCATGGGCAGGGTAGGGCAGGGCTGGGCACTGATGGCTCAGGCTACTTGGAGGATGATATTGGGAGGATCACAGTTCAAAGCTAGCCCAGGCAAATAGTTTGTAAGACCCCTTCTCTAAAACACCCAGAACAAAATGGACTTGAGATGTGGCTCAAGAGGTAGAGTGCCTGCTTTGTAAGTATGATGTGTTGAGTTCAAACCCAGTCCCACCAGAAAAGTGACTTATTCAAACAAATGTAGAAAAAGAATTGTAGAAAGCAACTTACTTTAATTCTGCAATACTCCTTTAAAATAGTATAATTGAAAAATAAGTAATATTTTTATTTCATTGACATTGATTGCAACATTCCATATCATATGCATACTATATGTTACATGTGTATGAAGTCTGAAAGATACATATATTAAATTCTTGATTCTTTGATCTTCATATTGCCATTAACTTGGTTACGTTGAAGAAAAAGGTAATTTTTTGAGACTGGGGTCTCATTGTGTTGCCTAGTCTGATCTTGGACTCCTGGGCTCAAGTAATGCTTCTGTTTCAGCCTCCCAATTAGCTGGGATACCAGATGTGTACTACTGCAATTTTGAGAAAAAAATTTAAACTGTTTTAACAGTTAAAAGTACAGAGAACTTCCTAATTTACTTGACTTAAACTAAAATAAACATAGCTACAGTTTAGTATTATACAATACCCGTTTAAGTGTGGTTTGAAAAGTTTGAGTTAGACTTCAGAATTGTAGCTTCAAAACAAGACCACAGTGCATTTTTCCATTATCAGATTTATCCCTTGTCTGGTTTCAGTTTGTTTAGAAATAAGGAGTTTGCTAGCTCAACATTTGGATATAACTTTGTTGCATACCCCAGTGTTAAGATTTTCAAATTTTTAAGATATTGAAAACTTAAATAATCAGGTAGATTTGAGCACTGACATAATGTTTGTTGTAGAATTCAACAACTTCCATAAAATGGAATTTGTCATATAATCAAGGTTAAAAATTATTAAGTATATTTACATACATTTTTGATAGAATAGAATTATTTCATGAATGAGTTGGAAATTTAAGTATACTCATTTACTTTTTAAGCTTTTTCTGTAGACTCTTAAGTTGTTATGAGCTTCAGCCATTTTACTGTAATACAGTGATGCCTTCTGGAGTTGTTGAGCCAGGAAGGGATGGTTGACTTTTAGACTGAATGACTTCAGTATGCCTTGTTGTTGATGATTCTGAGGCCAGTGTTTATACTGTGTATTATTTCTCCCTCCCCCATGGGTCTTGTCAAATTCTTAATGAAACTGTTTACCTTAATTTTTTTATACTACTGGGGTTTGAACTCAGGGCCTAACACTTGCTAGGCAGGCTCTCTACTGCTTGAGCCACTCACTCCAACAGCACGAGATAGTTTATTTTAAACAATTCTTAATTCCCTAAGTTACAGTATTTCTCCCTCCTCTGTCTAAGCTAAGTATTTCTTGGCATTATCATTCATCAGGGAATTTATTATGTGCTATTTTAAATAGTTAATTTCCTCCTCTTTTTCTTTTTTTTTATTTTTAATATGCTACTAAATTATAGGGCTCTGGATGAGTGGCACTTACAATTTACCACTTAAACTCATTATAGCCTGTTTAGAGGACTTTAAGATGTAGTTGCTTTGCACATTGTAGTTCTTAAACAAGTTTGCTTAAAGTGAGCTCTAAGTATTACACTGCTTTCTATTATCTTTAGATTCATCCTTGAGGTTTTAAATGATACCCTGGATGCTTCCTCACTCTTCATAACATATAGCTTATGGTAAAGTGGTAAACAAAGTTTCACAGGTTGCAAAGGATTCATATCTATGGATTTTTTTTAATTTTAAGAAATTGTGTCTGTACTGAATCAGTTCAGATTTTTTGTCATTATTCCCTGAATAATACATTGTGACAACTGTTTGTATCAGTTACATTGTAGTAGTTATTACAGGTAATCTAAAAATGATTAAAATATAAGAGAGTACACATAGGTTGTATGCAAATACTATACCATTTTACATGAGTAACTTAAGCATCCCAGGATTTTGGTATTCTAGGGGATCCTGGAACCTATTTTCTATGGATACAGAGGGGCAATTATATACATATTTTGGCCTGAGTAAAGTAAGACAGGTAGAAATGGCTGAAGCTGATTGTGTTAGTAAAAAGGTACCTATCAGAAGTATGTTACTGTTTGTTTGTGCATATCCACAATGTTTATTTGCTTTATTTATATGCTTTTGCTATCATGCCAAAAATTGAATAGAGAAGTATGCCTTCATTTTGTGACTGTAGACTCCTAGTCTTATAAACTGACTTAGAAGATCTCTCTTTTACCCATTTATTTTGCTGGTACTGGGGTTTGAACTCAGGACCTTGTGCTTGCTAGACAGGTGCTTTACCACTGGAGCCACATTCCCAGCCCTCCCTTTTTTTTTTTTTTTGTTACATCATGTATTAACTTCTGATACTTTCAAATTTTAGGAGTTGTTACAGCAGAAATGTTTAGACATATGCAGAACTCTGAGATAATTCGAAAAATGACTGAAGAGTTTGATGAGGTAACATCCTAAGTATTTTAGTAACTTTGTACATAATAGATCTTGAATTAAAAGTTTTAAGTATTAATGTCGTGGATATGAGCTGTGGCATTAATTACATAACTGTGTGACCTTGGGCAAGTTGTCATAGTATTAGTGTCATCATCTGTAAGATGGGGCTAATAGATTTCTTACAAGGCTTTTATGGAAATGAAATTGAGTAATGCTTGAATATTGATTAGCATTTTATAATTCCTGGTATATGGCAAGAACTTTAAATATTAACTATTATTATTACTGAAAATAAAATTCAGGGAAGAACATAATTTAGAACATATGAGAATATTCTGAAATACTGTAAAAAGGAAGATTTGGTCAGTATTTGAAGAACCAGGCAGCCTAGACAAAAGACTGGATTATTATTTACAAATTTTGTTATTTTACAACTATTCATAATAAGAACAATAACAAAAAAGTAGTAATTTAGACTTGAGTTGATTATCATTGTAATCTCTTTGAAGTATTGTTACCAATAAGTATGCTTGTAGATTTACTAGACTGAAAGCTCCTTCAGGACAAGGATTTTTCTTTGTTTTGTTCTCAGCTATTTTTAGCAGTAGTAATTTTATGCTCCCAGAACTTGGAATTTTCAAATAGAAATTTTGTTCTCACTTTTTTTTCTTGCTTTCTCTAATGAAGACACTTTCAGCTCTCATTCTAAAAGACAGATGAATTGTTAAAATGGCTTTGATGATCACTAAGTGCTATTAATCAGTTTCTAAGTAGTAGGGAGGTAATTATGAGTAATGGCATTTTTAACCTTTTAATATTAAATGTTTTAGTGAGAACTTTTTCTAAAAGGAAACAAGTATTTGAGGTAATCATCCTGAAATATTTGAAAATTTCAACAAATGAAGTTACTAACAATAATTAAGATATGTTTTAAATAGAGTCACTAGTTCTGTAGTAGAGTGCATGCTTAGCATGTTCTAGGCTGTGGGTTTGATCCCTAAGAGTCTCTGCTCTTCCCTCCCCCACCCAAAAAGATGAAGAAAATCTTTCTGTAGAGTTAGATATGTTAGACAGTTCAGCTTACATATGTCAAGAATTAAAATAAAAAAAATTAATGGTGAAAGTCACTTGTTAAAATCTTAGTAAATTATATTGATAAAATTACCTTAAGGCTCTAAGTTACTCTTGTCTTTGTTTTTATTTTTAATTTTAAAGCATTTGTTCATTTTGTGGTGCTGGGGATTAAACCCGAATTTTGCACTTAGTGTGTGCTCTACCACTACCCCCAGCATAGGACTTGACTATTTTTAATGATTTGTGAGCAATCTTAATTTAACCTGAAAATAAAGAATTCCCCATTTTTGTATAAAGGAAAATGTGACTGTTAGTAGTAAAAGGCTGTATTATCTACATTTGCATTTCTTCTTTCTTTATTTTTAACTTGTCAAACTTAGGGCCTAACTTGTGCTAGACACTTGGCCTACCACTGAACTGTAACCCCAGCCTTGGATTTCTTTTTAAATTGTGTGGTTGTTTTTATCTGTTGACTATTTGGTCTCATGAAGCTGAGGAAAAAAATATATTGTAACTTTTTGTTGATTTATACATCATTCTGTTAGAGTAGCTTGAGAATGTGATTTCATTATTTTGAATTCATTCAAAAATAAAATTTTGGTTTAGTTTTGGTTCACTTTTATATTAAAGAAATTTAAGAAATATATTTGTGCTTATCAGAAGAATGTTTCACTTTGATGAGGGAAACTTAGATTTAAACCTCAGTAAATTGATGTATAATTTTATTGATTAAAGTGAATTCAGTATGTTCATTTTGATCTTAAATGAAGAGCAGAAGTGTTCAAAGGTACCGTTCCCTTTGCATATTCTCTTGCTTGTTGTGAAAATTTATTGGAGATGGGTAAGGTAAAGGAATCTTTTATGCTTTTGCCTAGGATGTTTTGAAAACAAGTGAAATCTTAAGTCATGCATTTTAAATTAAATTGCTGTTTAAAATTGTTGTTTTAGGATAGTGGAGATTATCCACTTACCATGGCTGGTCCTCAGTGGAAGAAGTTCAAATCCAGCTTTTGTGAATTCATTGGTGTATTAGTACGGCAGTGTCAATATAGTATCATATATGATGAGTACATGATGGATACAGTCATTTCACTTCTTACAGGATTGTCTGACTCACAAGTCAGAGCTTTCCGACATACAAGCACCCTGGCAGGTTAGTATTTTGAAGTATTTTCTGTGTGTTGCCTTAGGTTAGAGGTGAAGTTTTGTTCATAAAATGACCAGAGAGAACACTCCTTCAACCATACTGTGCCCTGTTGAGCTACCTGGAATGGATTTTTTTTTGTTTTATTTTGTTTTTGAGACAGGTCTCACTGTGTATCCCAGGCTGGCCTGGAGCTTGTTGTGTAGCCTAGATTGTCCTTAAACTCATACTCTTCCTGCTTTAGCTTTGCAAGTGCTCGGATTGGGGTATGCATCTCTTCCGTCTGATATTTTCAGTTTTTATTTTTTGAGTATACCCTATAGCTATAATGTGATGGTTTTCCTTTGGTAAACCTACTTGATTACTATGCATAGGAAAATCAGTCCATTGGTATGTGTTGGGTTCTTGAAAGATGTTTTATTAGGGAGAATATTGACTGCAAATTTGGGGAGACTTGTAGTTATTTTGGATATTTAGTCTTTATGACCCTTTCATTTTTGTCTCTGATAGGCAGAGTAAGGTAGGATGGTACCCTTATTGGACATTGGTTATTCTTTAAACCACACTGTAAAAATGCTTTCTTAGGTTTGTGGGTAACTTTAGGCCAGGACAAATTCAGTTTTTGTATGCTTGCTTTTGTTTTGGTGGTACTGGGATTTGAACTCAGTGCCTTGCACTTCCTAGGCAGGTGCTCTACCACTTGAGCTACACCTGCTCTACCACTTGAGCTACACCTGAGCCCTTAGGAATTTTATCTTTTATTTTTAGTGAGATGAATTACTTCACATGGTTTATTTTATATCAGGGATTTTTGTTTTCATGTGGTTAAAATCCTTTTGTTTCTCCTTTTGTTAAAGGTAAAATTGGCGCTATACTATTACTAAATATGTGCTTTTTTTGTTTGAGTTTGAAAAAGCAAATAGGCTTTATTTGTTTCAGTATTCTAAGCTTTAGTGTTAATTTTGGTTTCTGTCTTTGCAGAGAATTAAATGTATGCTAAAAGGTATACTTCTGAGTATTCCATTAGTAAAAATAAAATGCAGTTTCCCATAGTTCAATTTTTTTTTTAAGATTTGAAGTCACAAAATACGAATGTGGTCTTACTTCATATGCTTAAGTTCAGTGTCAAGAACTTGATGGCGAGTGTAAATTACTATAATGAATAATTTTAGATCAGAATGACCCAGTACTTTGCTGAGGGTGTGAAATAGTTTAGGGCAGAAAATCGGGCACTTCCATTTAAGAGAGCCAGTAGCCATAAAAGAAGATACTGTTTTGCTTTGTTATAACAAGCAATGCACCAAGTATGAGAATTCGTCTGGAGTAAACTAAAGAAAGCATACAATGATCACATCTCTCAACATATTTAAAATCATAGCTGAAAAGAGTATTGTTCAAGAGTAAGCATTTATAGTAACAGAAAGTAGCGATCTGGAGGAAGTATTATGAGAAAGTACTTTGTTAAGTGACATTTGCATTGTTTATACTTTTTGACCTATCTTCATATAGATCTCTTCCGTAAAATTTTATCATTGTCTTTGATTTTATGTAATGGAGTAAATTAATTAAAATATAATTAATAGTGATAAAATTTTTCATTTTATGCAATGTCATTTGTTATAAATCAGTTAAGTCCCCTTTAGTTATTGAGGTGGCTAAATGACTTAAATCACTTTTTTTTTTTAAGTTGCTCTGGGGATTGAACCTAGGGCCTCATAAATGCTGGGTAGGCACCACCACTGAGCTACATCCTTAGGCCTTAGCTAAATGATTTCTGCAAGGAACTAAAATTTACTTAAAAGATGAATAGTGATCTCTGGAAAAAATCATTGTAGTGGATGTTATATTTAATAGTGGGTTTAAGCATAGTCTAGAGTTGGATTACATTGTTTGAATTGTCGTTTAACTACTTATATGAACTAAATCCGGGGCCAATTTGTTCTAATCTCTCTGAGCTTCATTTTCCTCATCCCTTACCTTTGATATAGTCCTTGAAATGTATTTAGCATAGGCAGTTTACTAACATATAGTAAGTATTCTGTTGTTTCTGTTGTCATTTGTAGCAGCCTTATTTTTCTTTTCTATTAGAAGCAGAACAGCCTTTCTTTGCTTAATTTCTCTTAATTTGATCTTAAATTGTAAAAATTTTGCATCTCTTAGACTAATTTCAATATTTTACTCTTTTAAAAATAGCTATGAAGTTGATGACAGCTTTGGTGAATGTGGCACTAAATCTTAGCATTAATATGGATAATACACAAAGACAATATGAGGCAGAACGGAATAAAATGATTGGAAAACGAGCCAACGAGAGGCTAGAACTATTGCTACAAAAAAGGAAAGAGGTAAGCTTTTATATTAAATATTTAGAATATTAATGTGTAAACAACTCAGCCACCATTAATCATAACTTGTTAGTCCCTCAGGTAAGTTTTTTGAAAGATTTAAATTTTTTTTTTTTTTTGGTGCAAGGGATTATTTGAATCCAAGGCCTTATGAATGCCAAGTTTGTGCTTTACCACTGAGCTAAACTTAACAGGCTCATGAAAGATTTAATTTTATGTAGTATATTTCAAATTATTTATGCCTCTAACTTGATGTTTTGTTGAATATCTGTGCCAATAATACCTTGTTGTGTATTTTCTGTGTAGACTAGTATTAAAGAATATTGTGCTTTATGTGCACTAGGACGATCTTGAAAGTTGTCTCAGACTTCGTATTATTAATGTTAAGTGTTACAGTCTCTCTAGTAATCTTCCTCTAGAATCTTCCACACTCATCTTATTGTCAAGATGCAATGAGGTTTTGTAATTAATGTGATATCACTTTGAATTCAGCTTTGAATGACAAAAATGTATTTTAGTATTATGCTAAATAAAAGTAAATAAAACCTTTTGATGCTACATTTTTAATTGAAATTCTTCTTTCACTATTGCCATAATAGTTTGTAATCTTGCAATGGAGGTGTTTCTTTTATTTCTCATAGGTGAAGTTTGATGTTCCACAAATATTAATAATGCAGTTGAGTTCAATTAGATGTCCTCTTAATTCATAAATTTATTTCTATCTTAAGATTGGGGCTGGGGGAGTAGAAGCTGTAGTTTTAAATTAATTATTTCTGAACTAGTCAAATAACTTTTTAAAATACCTTGACTCAAGAAAATTAAGAAAAGTCCTTGTATTTCCCCCGATGCCTTAAATTCCTCATCTTTCTCATATAATTTGAAATTAGTATTCATACTTCTATACCTTAATTTACTTAATAAATTTCACTGATTGAGTTATTAGATGAATATAAAGCATGTCTTTGTCAATGAAATTATGGCCTTACTCTAGGACAGATTAACATAGAATGAATGTAGAAAGTTAAAAGGACTTTAAAATCAAAATTCAGAATTTCTGTAAAAATACAGAGTACAGTAATATTTCTAGGATAGGGTTAAGTGCTTTTCTTTTTGGTGGTCTAGGGATAGAACCAGGGCCCTCATTAATGTGAGGACAGTGTTCTATCCTTGGGTTACATCCCCAGTCTAGAGTTATGGTTGTAAGCCTACTGAAGGACTTTTAATGAATTTAAGATTTGCGTGTCCATGCTAGCTTTAAAAATACATGATCATATTCAGTACAAATTCTTGTATTTAGAAATGCAAGATCATATTAATGCAGAGAAATAATATATTTTGCAAAAGTGCATAGCATAATCTAAAAGCTAGTTGATCCTCAGTAAATGAAACATTATTTTCTTAACTCTTAAACTACCAGTGGAAAATGTGTGTGAGTCGTCAAGTTAACCAAAGTTGGAAATGTTCACTTGATTATTTCCGGTCAGTCATGTAAAAAGAATTTAATAATGATACTTTTTATTTTACTCGTAATTTCTTTTGTTTTTTGAGTATACACTAGTTAACATGACTTTTTTCAGGTTATAAAGATCAAGATAATGAAAAATTGTTACATGTGTTTGATACAGACATGTGGTATATAATAAATGTCACATAATAATAAACCACAAAACAGATTTCTCTCTCTTTATACAATGAAAATTTGTGAGCATCAGAAAAAAATAAATCTACTAGACAAATACAGCCAAGTCATATAGTTCAGAAATCATGTTATATTAGCTATCTAATACCCAACTTAATTTTGCTTTGTTATTTTTGTGTGGTAGAATAAAAATCAGATGTGCTCATCAACATACTGGAGAAACTTGCATTTCTTAGTACTTGTACCAACTTTTAGATTTTGGTTATTTTTGAGTTGTCTTCCTTTGTCATTTAAAAAATGGTGTGTTCTTCTTTATAGCTTCAGGAAAATCAAGATGAAATAGAAAATATGATGAATGCAATATTTAAAGGAGTGTTTGTACATAGATACCGGTAAGTCAGGACAGTTTTTCATAAGTAGAACTATATAATTATTACTCTCAAACTTTAGATAGTTAGTGGTTTTGTCTTCTAAATCAGTAGAAAGAGTGAGATCAATATTCTGGGCAAGATATTTATCTGCTCTGAAATTGATGCTTCCCATCTGAATAATGGGATAATGCTGTGCTTAACTTAACAGCTGTCCAGCCAATGGATTACTACATTTTTTCCTTTTTGGGAGCCAGTACTGAAGTTTGAACCCAGGGCTTCATGTTTAAGAGGCAGGTCCTGTACTGCTTCAGCCATGCCTCTTGCATGGGCTATTGTGGACCATGATCCTCCTATTTTATGCTTCCCACTATATTTGAGATAATAGGCATGCACCACCACACACAGTGTTTTTCTATTGAGATGGGGTCTCATGAACTTTTTTTGCCTGGGTTGGCCTGGAACTGTGATCTTGCTTAAGCTCAGCTTCCCATATAACTTGGGATGACAGGCATGTGTCACTGTACCCAGCTATTGGATGAGATGAGGTCCCCTGAAGTATTTGTCTGAGCTGGCCTCAAACTATGATCTTTCCAGACTTAGTCTCCCAAGTAAGTAGGTATAGCCATGAGCTATAGGCTACTGACTGGAAGCTAGTATTATTATTCAGAGTCAGGATACAAAATACTTAATTGCTTTAGTGTGTACTGTGTTGGTAAACTTCACATACTGACTTCTGACTGCTCTCTTCCATTTCAATATCATTGGAAAAACTTGGCTAAATCTTTTGCTGTTTCGATTGAGCAGAAGAAACAAATAGGTAGTTGTATTATAATTTCTGTTATAACCACTTCTTAAATGTTGGTGGTATTTTTCTTTTTGGTGGTACTGGGAGTCTTGCTTTATGCCCTGGCTTTCCTGGACTGTGATATTCCTATTTGTGCTTCCCCTTGTAGCTGGAATTACACATGCATGTCACAAGGCCCAGCAACTGATTGAGATGGGGGCCTCATGTAGGTGGTATGACAGGTCTATGCCATCATACCCAGCTATTGGTTGAGATGGACTCTCTCAAACTATTTGCCTGGGCTGGCCACCTGATCTCCATCTTCTGAGTACCTTGGTAGTATTTTAATTCAGCAACTTCCTCATTTCTTCAACTTGGCCCTTACTGAATCCATTTATTTCTTATAATGACCCCATATTCATGCTTACCTTTATAATTCTGTTGTCACCATTACCTTAGTCTGTTCTCTCATGGTACTCATGCTTGTTGATTATTGCAGTTTTCCTAAAACATCCTTTTATGATGTTATTCCTGCCTTCAGTAACTCACCAGTACCTATATTATGAATTTAAAATCACTTAGTCTGTGGTAGGTGGAGTGACATGCACTTGTAATTCTAGTTATCAGGAGGATCACTTGAGCCCAGAAGTTTGAAGCCAGCTTGGGAAACATCGTGAGCCACTGTCTAAAAACGAAATTTACAGGTTAAAAATAATTTAGTCTGAAGTTCAAATCCTAGTATTGCTTGTCCTTATCATAATGTGTAAGTATTTCTCACCTGAAGAATGATGGTCTAGGTAGACTAGTATGCTTGCTATCTTCTTAGCACACCAATCCCAGCAGATATGAACCAAGAGTGGGATATGGTTTAATGTAAAAGGTGAGGCTGGGGTTTTGTTTATAGTTTTGTTTAATTCTAAATATTTATGTGCTGATAGTTCAGCTTTGCCAACTTTGGGGCCATGCTTCAAGTCTACTTCTTAATCCTCAGTGATACTTAAGATGTCATATTTATAGTAGATAAGAAATACTTGGCATCTCTTGAATAAACCATATGTCCTATAGGCATAGTGGAAATGATTATATATAATTTTTCATTCCTCCATCTAGGGATGCAATAGCTGAAATCCGAGCTATATGCATTGAAGAGATTGGCATTTGGATGAAGATGTATAGTGATGCCTTTCTTAATGACAGTTATTTAAAATATGTTGGTTGGACTATGCATGATAAGGTAAGATGTGCCCCATAGAATGCTTCTCCATCTACACACAGGCATGGCTGTCTACCATTCTCACTGAAAAATGAGTGAGTGACATATGTACGTACTTTAGACCACATCTCTATAAATCTGTCTCCTTTATTCTTTTCTTCTCTATGAAAACCTGGTCTATATTATGTAAAGTTCCCTGAAATTTTTACATCCTGGCCACTGATTTAATCTTTAGTATCTAGTCTTAAACATATGTAGTTATTTCTATTTTTAACATAATCAAAGATGACAGTTTCTGAAGAAATCCTAATAATTGAAATTTTATAATAGAAAAATGTATGCACTTTGAATATTTAAGTTAGAAATGCAGAGTTTCAATTCATTTTCTCTTCTTGTTTCTTTCAGCAAGGTGAGGTAAGACTCAAATGTCTTACGGCACTGCAAGGGCTTTATTATAATAAAGAGCTTAATTCCAAACTGGAGCTATTTACCAGTCGATTCAAGGTTAGTATTAACTATTAAAAAGTACTTAAAATTTGAAAATATTTTTCTTGTTTTCCTTTTAAAATATTTTAATCTTTTTGTTTTTAGGATAGAATTGTGTCTATGACGCTTGACAAAGAATATGATGTTGCAGTACAAGCAATAAAATTACTCACTCTTGTTTTACAGTAAGTATCGGTTGCATATTACTGCTGTTCCGATATTTAGATGATACACTTGAGCATCTGGTTGAGATTAATTTTGATGTAAACTTTAAATACTTAAATCATAGTTTTACAACTATAAGTTTATTATTACTATTAAGTAGTAGTAGTATTTTCAGATGGGAGTATCACCATGTTGTACAGGCTGATCTCATACTCTGTAGCAAGTTTTCTGCTTTGGCCTTCCAAGTAGTTTGGGACTATAGGCATGCACCACTGCCCTGGCTTTGATGTTTTCTCATGTAAAGTTGATAAAACACAGGAAGAAGGAACCATTGAACCTGAGAAATTATAACTGAGCTAGGAGTGCATATGCTCCCATTCTCTTGGCGAGTTTTCTTCCTGCTTAACAGTGCTCTCAAAATAAAATAACATTTGAATGAATTAAAAATACATATTGTCCCATTTTCAGATTTTAAACATCTGTTGAAATGCTGTACTATTACACTGCTGAACTTAAGACACATTCTGTGTTAATGTGATAGATCACTATTGCATATTAATGCAAAAATTGTTATACATATTTTCTCTTTTCCAAAAATGTGTAGCAAAATATACACAACATAAAACAATTTTGACCACTTCAAACATCAAATTTAGTGGCATTAAGTATATTCATTGTTAGGTAACTGTCACTACTATCCATCTCCGCTATCTGTACTGAAACTACCAATTTAACATTATCGTCATTCCTCCCTATCTCCCAGACTCTGGTGACAACAATTCCATTTTCAATTTCAACCTATATGAATTTGCTTGTTCTGGATATTTCAATAAGTAGAAACATAACAGTATTTGTTCTTTCATATATCACTTATTTCACATCACATGAGGCCACATGATTTTGTAGCATGTACCAGAATTTTTATAGCTTGGTAATATTTTATTATATGTATATACCACATTTTATTTAACCATTCATCTGTTAATGGCCCTGTGGGCTGTTTGCATCTTTTGGCTATTATCATAATGTGAAGTTGAACGTAGGTGGACATGTATCCATGTCTTTGCTTTCAATTCTTTTCAATCCAGAAGTGAAATTGCTAGATTGTAATTCTGTGCTTAATTTGTTTGTAGTGCCAGTAATTGAACCCAGGGCAGGGCCTCATGCATACTAAGTATGTACTCTACCACTCAGGTATATCCCTAGGCAAGTATTTAGTTTTATTGAGGAGACATCATACTTCTTTCTCCCATGGTTCTGCCATTTTGCATTCCCACAGCAACGTACAAAGAGTTCTGATTTCTCCACATTTTCACCAACAATGATTTTCTGTTTTCTAAAATATCAGGTGCTATCTTTTACCAAGCACTTGAATGGTGTGTCAGTGCCCTTGTTCCAAAATGGTACAAATCTTTTATAAAAATACCTGGAATGAGGAAGAAACTTACATGTATAAGTAATATATTATTATTTCCATGCATACATATTTGCGAATACACATCTTTCTATAGCTCTGTGTGTGTGTGTGTGTGTGTGTGTGTGTATTTTCCTATGCATGCTAATAAGCCAGGCATTATGGTATGCCTCTGTAATTCCAGATACTCAGGAAGCTGAGGCAATAGGGTTGCTGATGCCAGGAGTTGGAGGCCAACCTGGCAACATAGAGATACCCCTGTTTCAGAAAAAAAATGTTAATAGAATGCAGCTAAGAGATGTAAAAGAAGATACTAATTTGGAAAGTTTATTTAAGAAAACTCAATATTTAAAAATTTATAATCTCCCTAAATCTGTACAATTAAGATGATCCAAATAATAATGGCAAGGGGGTCTTTTCTTTAATTTTTATTTTTTTATTATTCATATGTGCATACATATTTGGGTCATTTCTCCCCCCTGCCAGGGGTTCTTTAAAAAATAACTTCTAGCTAATTTCGACATTCATATTGAAAATTCACCATTTAGTAGTATAACTAGCAGAGGTGGGGATGTAGCTTAGTGGTAGAATACTTAGGTAGCATGTGCAAGTCCATGGGTTTGATCCCTACCACTGGGGGGAAAAAATAGCCAACAGAATCCTTATTTTAAACAAAAATGAGTAAGGACTATCCCATATGGTTTACATCATGTGATAAAACCATAGTAATTTAAAAATTTTGGTTTTGTTGCACGAATAGATAAGCTGAATAAAAAGAGTCAAGTGCAAATGTTCCCAGGATTCTAGTATAGGGTGAGGGTGGCATTTGCACAGTAAGAAATACTGTCAATAAATGTATTTGTGACAACTAGATTGAATTTAGGGAAAAAATAATATTGGATTCCTATTTCATTCTTTTTTTTTTCTATTTCATTCTTTACTCAAAAATAATTTCCTGATGGTTTATGTACTTAAATATTGCTAAGTATATCCCTAGAAGTACTAAATGAAAGCATGGGAAAATTTAATAATTTTATTTTATATGTAAAACAAGCGTGCCAGGTGTTCCAGAGCATGACATAAAACCTAGACATAAAAAGATCAATGAGCCCGGTTTCTGTTGGGCATGACTACAATAGCAGCACTTGGAAGGTTCAGGTAGGAGGATTTTAAGTTTGAGGCTAACCTGGGATACATAGTGAGACCCTGTCTCAAAAACAAAAACAGAAGCAACAAAAAAGATAAATGAATTAACGTCATAAAAAAACTTAGTGTCTGTGTGAGTAGACCCTGGGCTGGTAGAGTGACTCATATGGTAAGAGTGCCTGCCTAGCATGCGTGAGGCCCTAAGTTCAAACCCCAATGCTGCCAATAAATAAAAAAAAATACTGTGAGTAAACTCAGAAAACAAATGTCTGGTTGGGGAAGTATTTGCATGAAAGGTATCAATTTCTGTATATCAATGAAAGGAACAGAAATCTTAATAGAAAAAGCAAAAAGTTGTGGATCAGGTCTCAGGAAAATACAGACTTAAATATATGAAAAGATGCCATTCTCAGCAGTAAGTACATTAAAATGAGCCTTCCCTCCCCTTCTTTTTTTTTAACTTATTTCATTGGGGAAGATAAATGTTAGTACACTATGTTGTTAAGGCTTTGCAGAAATAGGCCCTTGTATTGTACATTGCTGAAGGAAGACTAAGTTGATCTAAACTCTTTGAAAAAAATTTGGCAATACCTATCATAATTTACTTGCCCACATTCTCTAACACAATATTGTTTGTAACAGAAAATTTAAAACAATTGACATGTTTATTAATAAGGAAGAATTAAATTAGCATTTGAACTAATAGTCAATATAAATATTTTATACAGATTGACTCATTGAATACAATAACCTGTGAAATGGTAGTGGCCATTATCCCTATTTATATGTAGTGGACCACATAGCAGTAATTACTAGAGGTAGCAGTTTTACATTGATTGACATTCTCTTGGCAATTAATTTTTTTTAATTTTTATTTTTATAGACAGGGTCTCACCATGCAGCCCAGACTAGCCTCATACTTGCTATCTTATTGCCTCATTCAGCCTCCTGAGGGCTGAGATTGTTATAGACATGCATCATCATGCTTAGCTCCCTTATGTTTTAATTGAATTTAAAAGTTATAAACACTTCTTTGGTTATTTTTATTAGTGTGTATTAACAAAGGAGTATCATTGCATATAATGGACTTAGGCCAAATTTATCCCTCTGTTACTCTTATTCCCATTCCCTCCTCCCTTTTAAAGCATTTTTAATGTGTTTTATTATTCTATTTTATACATGTTTATACAGTATAGAAATTATAAATATTACATACATTTGTTCAAAATATTGAAAGACTGGAAAAAATAAAAAACTGATCGTATTCTACACATATTTGTAGTTACTTTCCTATCTCCTCCATAACACTCTGTGGACATCTTGACATTTTTGATAGTTGTATTAAAGATAATTGGCATAGCCATTTATGTTGATTTTCCTCTATGTACATATAACCTGAGTCGTATTTCTTTGGGTATATCCCTAGGAGTGGTATTGCTTGATCATGGCAGATCTATGTCTAGTTTTTTAAGAAGCCTCCATATTGTTTTCCAAATTCTTTACATTCCCTCCAATAGTGTCTAAGGGTTTCTTTTTCCATGCATCCTTGCCAACATTTGTTGTTGGTGGTGTTTTATGATAGCTATTCACTAAGGTGGAATCTTAGTGTGTTTTTGATTTGCATTTCATTTATGGCCAGGTATGGTAAACTTTTTAATGTGTTTTTTGGCCATTTGGATTTCTTCCTTTGAAAAAGTTCTGTTTAGTTCAGTTGCCCACTTCTTTATTGGTTCATTGATTTTGGGAGAGTTTCGTTTTTTGAGCTTCCTGTATATTCCTTTGTCTGATGTATAACCAGCAAAGATTTTCTCCCACTCTGTGGGTGGTCTCTTCAGTTTAGAGACCATTTCTTTTGTTGTGCAGAGACTTTGTAATTTCATGTATTCCCTTTGTCCATCCTTTCTCGTAGTTGCTGGGCTGCTGGAGTTCTTTGAGGAATTCTTTGTCTATTCCTATTGTTTTCAGAGTATTCCCTGCTCTTTCCTGCACTAACTTCAGAGTTTCAGGTCTGATGTTAAGGTCCTTAATCCACTTTGAGTTCATACTAGTACAGGGTGATAGAAACGGATCTAGTTTCAGTTTTCTGCAGGCAGATAACCACTTTTCCCAGCAGTATTTGTTGAAGAGCTGTCTTTTCTCCATCATATATTTTTAGTGCCTTTGTCAAAAATAAAGTAGGCATAGTTGTGTGGATTCATATCTGGGTCCTCTATTCTGTTCCACTGGTCTCCATACCTGTTTTTGTGCCAGTACCATGCTGTTTTTATTGCTGTGGCTCTGTAGTGTAATTTGAAGTCAGGTATTATGATACCTCCAGCATTGCTCTTTTTGCCTTGGCTATTCACAGTCTCTGTGTTTCCAAATGAATTTTAGGGTAGATTTTTCAATCTCTGTGATGAATGTCATTGGGATTTTGATGGGAATTGTGTTGAACATGTAGATTGCTTTTGGTAGTATGGCCATTTTTACTATGTTGATTCTACCAATCCGTGAGCATGGGAGATCTTTCCACCTTCTGTAGTTTTCCTCAGTCTCTTTCTCCAGAGGTTTGTAGTTCTCTTTGAAGAGGTCATTCATATCCTTTGTTAAGTTTACTCCTAGGTATTTGATTTTTTTTTGAGGCAGTTGTTTTCATATATTCTTTCTCAGTTTGTTCATTGTTGTTTAGAAAGGCTACTGAGTTTTGTAAGTTGATTTTGTATCCTGCTATACTGCTGAAGCTGTTTATTGTGTCTAAGAGATTTTTGTGGGGAATTTTTCAGGACTTTTAGGTATAAGGTTATGCCATCTACAAATAGGGATATTTTGACTTCTTCCTTACCTATTTGTATTCCTTTTATTACTTCTTCTTGCCTTATTGTGCTGACTAGGAATTCCAGGACTTTGTTGAGTAGGAGGGGCAGAGTGTGCACCCTTGTCTTATTCCTGATTTTAGGGAAATGGTTTCAGTTTTTCTCCATTAAGTATGATGTTGGCTATAGGTTTGTCATATATAGCCTTTACAATGTTGAGGTACATCCCTACTATTCCTAGTTTTCTTAGATGTTTTATTATGAAGTGGTGTTGTATCTTATCAAAGGCCTTTTCTAGGTCTATTGAGATGATCAAGTGGTTTTTGTCTATGCTTCTATTAATGTGCTGTATTACATTTATTGATTTGCATATGTCAAACCACCCCTCCATCCCTGGGATGAAGCCAAATTGGTTGTGAATGATCCTTCTGATATGTTGTTGGATTTGATTTGCCATTATTTTGTTTAGGATTTTTGCATGATGTTCATTAAGGAAATTGTCCTATAGTTCTCCGTTTTGGAGGTGTCTTTGTCTGGTTTTGGGATGAGTGTAATACTAGCTTCATAAAATGAGTCAGGCAGTGTTCCTTCCCTTGCTATTTTGTGGAAAAGTTTAAGGAGCGTTGATATTAGTTCTTCTTTAAAGGTCTGATAGAATTCAGCAGAGAATCCATCAAGGTCCTGGACTTTTCTTTTTTGGGAGAGTCTTTATTGCTGCTTCAATTTCATTTTGTGTTACAGATCTATTCAGGTGATTAATATCCTCTTGGTTCAATTTTGGGTGGTCATAGGTATCTAGAAATTTGTCCGTTTCTTAAGGTTTTCAAATTTATTGGAATATAGGTTCTCAAAGTAGTCTCTGTTGATTCCTTGGATTTCTGTCGTGTTTGTTGTTTTTTCCCCTTCTTCATTCCTAATTTTGCTAATTTGGGTCTTTCCCCTCCTCATTTTAGTCAGATTTGCCAGGGGTTTGTCAATCTTGTTTATTTTTTCAAAGAACCAGCTTTTTGTTTCGTTGATTCTTTGTATAAAAGGTTTTTTTCTTCTTCTTCTTTTTTTTTTTTTTTTTGGTCTCTATTTCATTAATTTTAGCCCTTATTTTTTATTACTTCTCTCCTTCTGCTTGATTTGGGTTTTGCTTGTTCTTGTTTTTCTAGGAGTTTCAGATGATTAGGTAATTTATTTCTGCTGTTTCTGTCCTTTTAATATATGCACTCATGGCTATAAACTTTCCTCTTAGGGCTCCCTTTGCTGTGTCCCATAGGTTCTGGTAGGTCGTGTTTTCATTTTCATTAACTTCCAGGAACCTTTAGATTTCGTCTCTTAATTCTTCAGTAACCTACTTACTTACATTGAACAGTGTGTTATTCAGCTTCCAATTGTTTGTGTATTTTCTGCAGTTGTTTTTATGTTGAGTTCTAGTTTTAATGCATTGTGATCAGAGAGATTGCAGGGGATTGTTTCTGTTTTCTTATATTTGCTGAGACTTGCTTTGTTCCCTAAGATGTGATCAGTTTTGAAGAAAGTTCCATAGGCTGCTGAGAAGAATGTATATTTTGCAGAAGTTGGATGAAATATTCTGTAGACATCAGCTAGATCCATTTCATCTATGGTGTGATTTAGTTCTATAATTTCTTTATTGATTTTTTGTTTGGATGACCTATCTCTTTATGATAGAGGGGTATTAAAGTCTCCCACTACCATTGTCTTGAAGTGTATGTGTGCTTTTAAGTCCTTTAGAGTATGATTGATGAAATTGGGTGCACTGACATTGCATGCATATAGGTTGATAATTGTTACGTCCTTTTGGTGTATTTCCCCTTTTATTAGTATGAAGTGTTCTTCTTTATCTCATTTGTAAATTTGAAATCTACTTTGTCAAATATAAGTATTGCTACTCCTGTTTGTTTTAAGGGGTTTTTGGCTTGATAAATCTTCCAGCCTTTCACCTTAAGCCAGGGTTTGTTTCTGTGATTATGTTATTTGTTTTTTCTCTCTTACAGCCTTCAGTATTCTTTCTCTATTCTCTGTGCTTGTTGTTTTTATGCTAATATGAGATTTGAGAAATTTTCTGTTATTATTTTATTGACTATGTTACATATCCCTTTGGTTTATACCTCTTCTCCTTCTTCAATGCCCATGATTCTCAGGATTGGTCTTTTGATGGAGTTGCTGAGTTGTTGCATATTCCTTTCATAACTCTTGAGTTGCTTGACTAACATTTCTTCAGTTTTTTTTTTTAATTTCTATTTTATGTTCGAGTTCTGAGATTGTCTTCCCCTTATTCTAGTCTGCTGGAGTGACCTTCCACTGTGTTTTGTGTTTCTGTTTGATTCTTTCTTCTGAGGTTTTCCATCTTTGGTCATGTTTTATTTTCATCTTTAATTCATTTATCTCTTTATAATGTCCTCTGTTTCACTTTGGTATTCATTTTGGGCACCTGTGAGTTCATTTATTTGTTTCTGTGTGTTCTCATGTTTTTTATTTTTGGTGTCTTTAAATTTCTTGAGTGAATCTTGTACATTTTGGTTAACTGTGTCTATATCTTCTCCATGACGTTCTCAGTGATTTTTTGCAAGATTTCTTCTTTGAGAGTGTTTTTGTGGACATCGCTGGGTTCCTCAAATTAAACTCAAATTTTTTAAATGTGAGAGCACTATTTTTTGGATTCTCAGTGTTCTTAGAATTATTATATTGCTAAAAAATTTGTAATTGCTTATTTCTTATTAGGAGTAGTGAAGAAGTTCTTACTGCAGAAGATTGTGAAAATGTGTATCATCTGGTTTATTCAGCTCACCGGCCAGTAGCAGTAGCAGCTGGGGAATTTCTCTATAAAAAGTAAGTCTATTTCTGTTACTCATTTTCTGATATATACTTGCATAATAACAATTTATTGTAATACATTTGAGATGGAGATATATATACTTTTTTTAGGAAAATTACTCAGTGGAGGTCAAATTGAAGCTTTTTACACCTTATTATTTACTTTAAAAGTTTAGGTTTCTCCTCTCCAGTCACTTTGATTTTTAAAAAAAAAATTTTTTTTAATTGTGTTTGGTGAGGGTACATTGTGGCATTTACTAAAGTTCGTATAATATATCAAATGTTTCGTACTTGAATTCACCCCCTCCATCATTGTCCTTTATTCCTCCTTTCCCCCCATTCTTCAAGTATCATTTTTCCACTTACATACATGTGTACATAGAATTTGTACTATATTTACCGTCCCACACCCTTTCTCCACCTCCTACCCCTATCTCCTCCCCCCTCACCACTGGTACTAATCCCCTAGGCTGGACCTGTTCCACCCTCGTGTTCTGTGATTTTCTAAAAGAAAGGGGAAAAAAATGACATTTTTGCTGTTAAGGATAGCTACATAGGGAACTTCCTTGTGTCACTTCCATGTATATATGAATTACAGCCCAGTTTGGTTCATCTCTGTTTTTCTTCTTTCTACCTTAGTACCTTTCTTATGGTTGTCTCAAACAGTTTAAAAACTATATATTCATTTTTGTATCAACCATATCCACCTTAACTTCCTTCTTCTCCCTTTTGTATGTGACCTCCCCTTGGTGTGACTTGTTTTTCATAATATTGCTGCATTTGTATTAGGTCTGTATCCCACATCTGAGAGAAGACATGTGACTTTTGTATGTGAACCTGGTTCATACACTGCTGGTCAGAATATAAATTAGTACAAACACTGTGGAAAACACTATGGAGTCTCCTCAAAAAACTAAAAATCGACTTGCCATACAATTGTTTTAATTCCTTTAAGTTAGATCTTTAAAGTGGACTGTACCCATGACTTTAAAAGGAATACTTTTTTTATACTCCGTTAGTTAAATCTTTAAAGGGAAATATACCCATATCTTTTAAGGATATATACCTGTTTTTTTTTTTAACTGCTTGGGATTGAATTCATGCTCAACCATAATAGGCAAGCATTCTACCTCTGATAGTGGATATACTTTAAGTTTACTTGACCATATTATAATATTTAGACTGCCCTGTACTTCAGTTTCTACATATTATAGTCTTTAATTTTAAGCTTCTCTTTCCTTTGCTTAAGAAAATATTAGGTTGACATAAGAATCATATAGTTTCTTTACTTTTTTTAATAGGGTTCTGGAGTTTGCACTCAGGGCCTATACTTTGAGCCACTCCACCAGCCCTTTTTTGTGAAGAGTTTTTTTTTTTTGAGATAGGGTCTCAGGAACTATTTGCCTGGGCTGGCTTTGAACTGTGATCCTTCTGATCTCTGCCTCCTAGGTGGTTTCTTTACTTTATGGTACTTTTTAATATTTCATATTAGGTGATATGGATGGTAGTGTAAATATCTGATCACAGAAAACAGCAAATTTTACATAATGCCTTTTGAGAAGAACATTTTGTACCACATAGACTAAACTATTATCTGTTGGTAAGAGTTAATAAAAGTGCCCATTTGTGGTATAGTATTTGTTAGAAAAAATAGTTGGTAGAAAACATCTACCTTATAATTTTCTATCATTTGTTATGCAGTGATATTTCTCCTTTGTTGTTTCTGAGGAAAACCAGCCTTTCTATCCATAGAAAAAGGGTACTGAGTAATGTTGCAAGGATATGGTGTGTTGCATTTTAGAGAAAAACATGAGTCATAGATACTTGTGCATGAATATCATAGGTGAGTCAATGTATTTTATGAAAGGATATAGGTGTATAAAATAACTCAGTATGCTTAGCTTGAGATGTCAGTTTAAAAGGGCTTAAAAAAAACCAGCAAGTGGAATGGAAAAGGTTTAAAATAATTATTTGTTTTGATGGTTTGATGCTTCACAATTTTGTATCTACCCAGTTCCCTATCATTCCTTTGTTAGGTGCTTAAATACGCAATATAGTTAATTTTTTTTATTAGCAAATACATTTTTTGTTTTAAAGTAAGTATTTTTCTTTGTTCATAGACTCTTCAGTCGTAGAGATCCAGAAGAGGATGGAATGATGAAAAGAAGGGGAAGACAAGGTCCAAATGCCAATCTCGTTAAGACATTGGTTTTTTTCTTTCTAGAAAGTGAGGTTAGTTCACGTTTTATATTTTATACTTATGTTCAAAGAATTTTTGAGAAGTTTTAAAAATGATGTACATACTAAATCTGCCATATAGTTTTGAATATAGTAATCTACTCTTTCTAAAATTAAAATTTAGAATTTAAAAAAAATTTATTAAGATGTTCAAACAATGGGATTTGTGTATAGGTTTTGCAATATGAGTTCTGGAGTTAAAAAATCCTGATTATCAATTGGACTCGTGCTTACTAGTTGTGTAACCTTGCCTAAGTTACTTACTCTTCTAAGTTTCACTTTCCTACTAGTAATGTGGGTAATAATTTCTCAGGTAACATTGAGATAATCCATGCATAGCATAGACTTAGTACATTGTATGTTCTCCAGTGTTCATGTCTGCAATTAATATCATTGTAGATGTGGTTTTATGTTGGTCTCCCTTAAGTTGCAAATCTGTTAACTATTTTTGAGAGTTACATTCATTTTGGTGTTCATATTATGTATTGTTTTATTGCCTCTTAATTTTCTAATTGTTTTGCATATAGAAATCTGATTTTTGAGTACTGACCTCTTATCCTACAGCTTTGCTAAATTCACTTATTTTAATAGTTCTTCAATAGGTTTGTAAGGATTTTTTACAATATACAGTCAGGTTATTTGCAAATAAACATATTACTTCTTCCTTTTCAACATTTATTTATTTTTCCTGCCTTTTTGAACTGGCTGAGACCTCCAGTAGAATATTGGATAAAAGTTATGGGTAGACATCATTGAATTGTTCCTAATCTTAGGAGGGTGTTATCCAAATTTTAACCTCAATTATGTTGTGTAAGATATTGGTTGTTAATGTAAACTCTTTATCAGCTTGAGGAAGATTTCTCCTATTTCTTGTGTTGCTAGGAGGCTCTACATGAATTGATACTGAATTTGCTGAAATGCCTTTTCTATATTCCTTGAGATATTGGGTTTTGTTGTTTTATCTCTTCATTATGTTAATGTTTTTAATGTTGAACCAACCTTGCATTTCTGTGGTAAACCCTGCATGGTCATGATCCTTTTATATACATTGCTGAGAGTATTTGGACAGTTTTTGAGGATATTACGTCTATGCTCATGAAAAATAATAGTCTATAAAATTTTTAAAAATTTGTGAGGTCCTTAAGAAGTTTTGGTGTCATGGTTATGCTCAACCCCTCAAACAAGTTGGAAAGGTGTATACCCTTTTAGACTTCACAGAGTGAAGAGAATGATTTACTTGTAAGTTGAATTGATAAGTAAAATTTTATTTTATGTTGTAATTAATTCTTTTCACTCTGATTTAGTTAAAATAAAATCATAGTATATCTAAGAATTGAGAGAAGTTAACTGATGTAATATTAGGTCCAAGTAAGCATATAATCTTTAATAAGTAAGTATGCATATGATTTTTCTGATCAGAATAAATAAGTTCTTTCTTTAAAGATGGTCACACTATTTTATTAACCCCCAAATGCATGTAATATTTTTCAAAATAATTTTCATGTTAATGTTTTAATGATTACTGTGAAAAATATTTAGTGATTTATTAAATATTAAATATTACTGTAAAAAATATAACTTATACCCAGCAATCTAAGACAGTTTCTTTTCTATTGAGTTTGTACATGGTGCCAACTAAGCTACTATTCTATTGAGTTAGGGCAAGTAATGCTACTTAACTCAGAGCACATTGCTTTTTTTAAATTTTAGTTACACGAGCATGCAGCATACCTTGTGGATAGCATGTGGGACTGTGCTACTGAACTGCTGAAAGACTGGGAATGTATGAATAGCTTGTTACTAGAGGAGCCACTTAGTGGTGAGGAAGGTAAGGATATTTAATTAGCTATTTTTGTTGTCTAGAATATTTTGAAAATAGATTTTTTTACTCATCTCATTTGTTATTGTTAAAAAAAAAATCACACACACACACACACACACACACAAAACACTGCAGTGCTGGGAATCAAACCCAAGGACTCGCACATGCTTTACATTCTACATCTGAGTTTTCATATGAATATTACAATGTGTAAAGAAATAATTGCTGTCAAAATTTTATTTTTTTGTATCTTGGTTCATACTTCTTTGCTGATATGTGTGGATAAGCGGTGAACACTGTGGGGATGCTGAGGGGCTTAGAAGTTTTAATGTGTTTTTATTTTTTGTGTGATAATTAATGGGAATATTCTTTAGTACATTAGGTCAGTTTCTGTTCATAGGCAGAAGAAACTTATATAACAGTTGGAAGTGGAATATAGATAGAAAAAAACATAGATTAATTTTCTTTCTTTTTTTTTTTTTTAGCATTAACAGACAGACAAGAAAGTGCTCTGATTGAAATAATGCTTTGTACTATTAGACAAGCAGCTGAATGTCATCCTCCTGTTGGAAGAGGGACAGGAAAAAGGGTATACCAGTATATTTTCAATACTAAATCTCTGGTTTTTTTTTTTTTTTTTTTTAGTATCTTAAAAAAAATCATATTTTGAAAAAGTATGGAACATTTTGGATTCTTAAATTTTATTTTTCTGATTACCTGTACTTATATGCATGTGCTAGAAATAATTTTTAAAGTCTTAGCAATTTAAGAAATTTGAATTCTTTCCATAAGATACTTTGTCTTTTACATGAGACAACAGTAACTACAGTCTCTGTGTTCAAGACTCAAACTAGTATGTGACTTTTATAATGGTGTGTTGTTTTGGGATTTTTAAAATAGATTTGTTTTCTTTTTCTAATAATACAAAACTAGAAATAAAATGAAGATAAATATTCAATTAAATGGGGCAATTTCCATTTCTAGATATCAAATTTTAATGCATTATTACAAAGTTTACATGTATTTGCAGTTTGTAGTAAGAGTTATACTGACATTCAAATGTGACTGTGAAACACAGAAACACATTTTCATATTGTGGCTTAGCATACACAAATATATGTGTACTTCTGTATAAATGAAACAAGTTTTCCCCAGATAATACTGAAACTTACATGATATATTCTCTATATTTTGTTTTGTTCCATTTTTTAAGTTATTTAATTTTTCTAAAATAATTTTTACTGTTCATTACATCAAACCCAGGATATTGCATGTGCTCTCTGCTGAGCTATCACCTTTTCCTTCCTTCCTTCCTCCTCCCTCCCTCCCTCCTTCTCTCCCTCTCTGTCTCTCCCTCCCTCCCTCCCTCCCTCCCTCCCTCTCTCCTTCTCTCCATCCCTCTCTCCCCTTTCTTTGTTTTCAGTGTGAACTCTGGCTTCTTGCTTGCAAAGCAAGTGTTCTGCTCTTTGAGCTACACCTCCACTTTGTTTTTTTGCTCTGGTTATTTTGGAGACTAGGTCTCATGAACTTTGACCCAGGCAGGTCTTGAACCACGATCCTCCCAATCTCAGCTTCACAAGTAGCTAGGATTATAGGCATGGGTCACTGGCGTCTGGCCCCTACTTCTGTATTTCAAAAACATGTTTTCTTTCTGTTTTTCTAATTCATGTTAGCAACTGACTATTTTGAATTCATAAACCATGTTTCATGGTCCACAGCCCAGAATAAGTTGAAATGCTGCTCAATTTCATTATTATATAACCTCCAAAACCACATTTCCTGTTCTTCTCCAAAGGTATTGTTGCTTGGTAGCATAGAGTATTGATTTTCCCACTAGGACTGTTCACTTTTTTGTTTTTATTTCTGGTGTTTTTTTTTTTTTTTTTTTTTTTTTTTTAATTTAATGAGTAAGTTACTCTCTTTTGTGTCACTTTTAAGGGTTAATGTTTTATAGTAGGAATTTTTGGCTGGATTGTGGTGGTCTATGCCTATAATCCCCCAGGAAGCTGAGGCAGTTAGATCACAAGTTTTAGGTCAGTTTGGGCATAGGAAGACTGTTGTTCAAACTTTTTTGTACCCATCAGCTTAAATACAGCTTTCTTATTTTATATGTGTAAACTCACGTACATACCAGTCTTAATAGCTTTAGTAGATGTTTATAAATGTCTTCATGTTACTTAGGTGCTGACAGCCAAGGAGAAGAAGACCCAGTTGGATGACAGGACAAAAATCACTGAACTTTTTGCTGTGGCTCTTCCTCAGTTATTAGCAAAAGTAAGTTTATGTCAGTAACATAGTATCCCTAAGAAATCACAGTTTTTTTTAAAAAAAAAGACTCAAACATTCTAAGGCTTACCTAGCATTATTGTGAATTTTTATCATGATCTTTTTTTTTTTAAGTACTCTGTAGATGCAGAAAAGGTGACTAACTTGTTGCAGTTGCCTCAGTACTTTGATTTGGAAATATATACCACTGGACGATTAGAAAAGGTAAAGTGTTTTTTGTGAATAAAAGACTTTGAAGAGAAAATGTTAGTTTATTCATCCCATGATACTGTTGGTTTATAGTTTTTGAAATGTTTTTGTAATATGAGCAGAAACTTAAATCATCTTATATGTATATGACAGTATGAAGGATTGAACTTAGGGCCTCACACTTGCTACCACTTGAGCCACTTTGTCATCCCTGTCTTCTGTATTTCAGAGCATCTGGATTTAGTGACTGTTCTAATGTGGCTTCCTCTTTGCTTTATGCTCATCGCTATACCTTCATTTTTAGAAATATGAGTCTATCACTGGTCATTTATAGAAATTTGCCACAGGTCACTCAATAATAATAATTATAAAAAGAAATCAGTTACTATTTATAGACCATGTTTAATATATTCTAAGAACTAGTATAAGCTCTTTATATGCATTAACAGTCTTACCAAAGCCCTTTAAGATAGGTAATACAATTTCCATTAAAGTTAAGGAAATAAATACGAGTGGATCAGTGTATTTGTTTACAATGACTAGAAAAATACTTTAAAATGTATTCCCTATGTAATAAAATTACAATATTTGAAAATTTTCTCTGTCAGTGGTATGGTAGGATAGTCACTTTATGCTTATCATATATACCTTAGTGAGGCCTTGCAAGTGCTACACCCGTACTATAACACTGAGCTATACCCCTGCCCTTGGTTTTAATGAAAGAAATTTTATTTCATAGCATTTGGATGCCTTACTGCGCCAGATCCGAAATATTGTAGAGAAGCACACAGATACAGATGTTTTGGAAGCATGTTCTAAAACTTACCATGCACTCTGTAATGAAGAGTTCACAATCTTCAACCGAGTAGATATTTCAAGGAGTCAACTGATAGATGAATTGGCAGATAAATTTAACCGGCTTCTTGAAGATTTTCTGCAAGAGGTATATACATATTTTTGGGCCCTTCCCCTTCAGTCACCAAAATATTATTTCTGGTGATGGTCTGGTAGTGTTGTGAAATAAAATATGTTTAAGTTTTTAAGTCTACTATTACTCCTCCAACAATAGGAAAGTGGTAAGAACCAATGACTTTGAGATAGTGAAAACAAAACTAGCATCTTTTGCTTAAATAAATGAAATGGACAGTTTTCTGACTTTAGTTAAAAAAAAAAGAGGTTCTTAGCAAATAAGGTGTTAATAGAACAGAAAGGTAGAGGTAGGCTGAGACCAAGTAGGGGGTTAGGCAGTATAAGTGAGGGAAATGGCACTGTTGTCTCTTGATAATATAGGGCCTCAATTAGTTGCTGCTATGGCCACTCTTGGTTTTGAACTTTTATGTTGTCCTATTATATCTTCAGAAAGGCTTAGTGCACTCAGACATACTTGTATTTTTATTGTGAGTTTTCTCTGGAAATATATCTGTACCTTTTAATTTATTTCAATAAAATTAAAAGGTGTAATTGTAAAATGTAATTTAAATTGCCTTTAGCCTTTCCCATATCACCTTTGTCATTCATGGTACAAAAAAATCATACAGACTTTGTAATTTGATGTTATTCTTATTTTACTAAATTATATAACTTACTTGGTATAATGTTATTCTAGGGTTCTTTAAGTTTTATTTGAGGATTGTGCAAATATGTTGATGTATAATTACACATTCTTAGTTAAAAGCTATAATGGTTCTACTCTTGGTTGTATATGATTGTGATTAAGACGAGTTAATTTAGTGTCAAGCAGTGGTTTTGTCATTCAATTTAATTACTTTGAAGAAAAATATTAAAAACAACTGAGTGTGATTTTGAGAGACCTAGGTTCAGTAGTGTTTAAGCAATTTTATGTTTCATGTAGTAAGACTCATAAACATTTTTCAAAAGTTTTGTTACCCTATATTGGAAAGTACATGAACAAATGTTGATTTCTTAACATGGAGTATCACATCTAGTCATTATTCCGAGTCTTTCCCCCCGTTTATTTGTCATTGATTTGATGCATCTTTCTCAACATAACCCTGTTTAGTTTACCTAGGTTTTGTTTTTTAGGGGTTGTGTTCTATGATTTGCTTGTAACCTAATGTATTTTTCCTTATTGTCATTGTGCATTTATTACTGTGAAATAGTAGATGTCTTCATAGTTTTGTGCCAACATTACTTAATAGAAAAAGGGAGAAAAATGCCATTTCACTTTTCTGTTTTGGGGCTTCATGTACCTGTGATAACAACAACCTTGTGTTGGCACAGCCATATTGCCTTAAATTTGACCCGATCTAGATATTGAATGATAGTTTATTTGTGATTTTCATTATGTTATTATTAATTTCTCCAGGTAATATCACCATTTTGATAGCCTAGGGGTTTTCACTTTAGTGGTTCTTAATGTATAATATTCATAGGGTGAAGAACCTGATGAAGATGATGCCTACCAGGTATTGTCAACATTGAAGAGGATCACTGCTTTTCATAAGTAAGATAAATCTTTAAGTTTCTGACTTCTTAAAACTGTAGCAATCAACTTGCGTGTATTATGGATTATAATGTTTTCAAATTCTTTGCTGGGTTTTTTTTAAGCTTTTCAGAAGAAACTGCCTGTGTAATGTCATGTTTGAATTGGGGAATGAGTGAAAAATTAATACTCTTTTAAAAGATACTTACTTTTGTTGTGGCATGGTAAGATGTTTTCTGTATTTACTTTAGAAGCATTCTGTTAAAACTCAAGTCCACAACACTTATAATTATTAATTTTATTTTTAATGTAACTTAATTCTTTGTTTTTACAGTGCCCATGATCTTTCAAAGTGGGATTTGTTTGCTTGTAATTACAAACTTCTGAAAACCGGAATTGAAAATGGAGATATGCCTGAACAGGTTTTTATTTACTTACAAGTTACTTATTTAACTTTGAGAGTTAAGGCTTGTGCCTGTATTCATTCTCTGTCTCTTTTTTCCCCTGCAGATTGTTATTCACGCATTGCAGTGTACTCACTATGTAATCCTTTGGCAGCTTGCTAAGATAACTGAAAGCAGCTCTACAAAGGTATGTGGTATTTAGCTGTATTTTTAGTAGATTAAATAACATTTACTGTTTTAAGCAAACTTCTTATAACTTTAATAAGAGCACTACTTCAATGAAGTCTTGTTTCTAGACTACTATATATGAATATGTACCTTTAAAAAAAAGCAGTTCTGTTTCTAGTTTGATGTATATTCAATGAAACATTATTGATATGTTCTGCTCAATTTAGGATTTTTGATTAAAATTGTTCACATGTAATGATGGGCACAATTTGATTATCCGTATTCTAAAAATTGGTGACTGAACATTGAAAGATTTTATAAATCAGACAAACTGATAAAGCTATTGGTTATATTAATTGAAGATCATTAATCAGCCTCTTTTAGATTGTCTTATGTCCTGGTATGTTTTGGGGATTACCATGTTCATGACCAAGATCTCTCTAGTGATAGTCCAAAATTCCTACCAAATCATTTTCTAATTGAGTTTAATGTACCAGCTACTAGAACATAGGGATTTTAACTTTGCCCATAATGATAATCTTTGTCTTTAGTAGCTGAATTAACCAGGACTGCTTTTTCTGTTTATGAATTGAAAGTTTAAACATTGTACTTCTAGGAGTAGTATTTCCTTAATTTTTATAAATACTAAGCAGTTTATGGAAGCTAAAGACTTACTGGTTCATAGGTATTTTCTTCAAAAATTAATCTTCTTGATAATGTGTTTATATTGCCTAAATCTACAGAATGTTAGTCTTAGAATTTCTCTTTGGTTTCAAGATCTTGTTACATCTGCAAATGGATTTTTAGTCTTTTAAAAGCAATATAGTATTATTGTGAAAATAGTGTAGTTTTTGTCGGACACCAGGGAAGGAGATTTGTTTATTTAGGTTTTCTTTTTGAGGCAGGGTCTTGCTATGTAGCTCAGGCTGGCCTCAAACTTGGATTCTCTCATCCTCTGCCTCCCACGTACTAAGGTAACAGACGTGTGCCACCATACCGAGAAGCTTATTTAATTAGATAATCAAGTTTATACCAATAGTAGTCATCAGGTTAGCATGTATGATTATTCTCCTGTGTGAAAAGTCTATTAAAACAGGAAAAAGGTGGTATTAAATAAAGGAAAGAGGTGTGAGTAGAAAATTATTTATGCTGAAGCTTAGTTGAGTTTTCACTAAATGTGATCTCCCAATTAAACCTATTTTTATTGAACTTCTAGGGCATAGCAAATATGTACTGATATTTTATCATTTGGAATCCAGTATCAGATGATGGAGCAAAATTTTTAATTTAAATGTGTTAATGTGGTTAGTCATTACAGGGTAATTTTATAATTTAAGTAAAGCGCTAAATTTTAGAAAAATGAAAAAGAAAGAATAAAATTCAAATTTTTGGTGTACATTTAAGAGATATATTTAAGGTTATGGTAATAATATAAAACTGATTTTTAGCCTTGATTTTTCAAGAACTACAGCCATGTTTTTCAAATAAGAAGTGAAAGATGCCATCCCTTTTTAAATCTGTTCATGAGTTGGCTATATTGCAAATAATAAAATGAACATGGAGCATACATTTTTACTCTTTAAGGATTGTGAGCTTGTGACTTTATTAAAGAGAGCCATACATAATTATTTAAATTTTTCCATTCTAAAGGACCCAGACAACTTAGGATATTGTCCATTAATAGGCCCAATATTTTTAAGGCCTATTTTTGGTGGGATTTGAAAGAAATACAAATGCTGTGGGTTTGTTTTTGTTTGTTTGTTTGTTTTCCTTTTTAATAAATTTTTTAATTTTTAAGACTGCAAAAATAGCACTAATATAGTCATATGTGGTTATGTTTTACTTAAAACATCTTAAATACAAATTTGAGTTATTTTAAAATACTGATTTTTTTTTTTTTTTTTTTTTTTTTTTTTAGGAGGACTTACTGCGTTTAAAGAAACAGATGAGGGTATTTTGTCAGATATGTCAGCATTACCTGACCAACGTGAATACTACTGTTAAGGAACAGGTTAGTGATAGGTGTAGCTCTTTTGTACATAACCATATTAAAATCTAAACTGATACAAGATTGAGCCAAGTAGAAGTGTCTTGTATCTCTCTATGTGTGCCATGCTTTATTTCAAAAGTAGATTAATTATTGAGCTTACGCATAATAAAATGCATTTATTAACTCCATATTGAGTTTATAATGGCATTACAGATTACTTTCATATTGTAGTTCTTCTGTGTTGTTTATGACATATGTGATAAACTCATTTATTTGTAAAAATTGCATGCATATGAGATTATAGAAGTCCTTATTGAAAAAAAGTATAATAAGTTTGCTTCAGGGAGGAAAAGATCCATAAAGTTTATAGAAGTCCTTATTGAAAAAAAGTATAATACGTTTGCTTCAGGGAGGAAAAGATCCATAAAGTTTTGTCATATCTGAGAATATCAAATGTTTGCATTTATACCTGCTTGATCTTGGTGTAGACATTAAAATAAATTTTGTTTCTTTTGGCGATACCAGGGTTTGAACTCAGGGCCTTATGCTTGCCTAGGCAGGCGCTCTGCCACTTGAGCCACTCCATTTTCCAACCCATTTTAAAATATTTTTCTTTTTCTTTTTTTGTGGCACTGGAGTTTGAACTCAGGGACTTAGACTTGCTAGGCAGTCGCTCTTACCAGTTGAGCAACTCTACCAGCCCTTGAAATAAGTACTTTTAATTCTTTAGCTTTCTTCCAAGTGTTAACATCCTATTATATATGATTTATTTCTGCCAGCCTTTAGAACTGGATATAGAATGTTACCTGGTTTATTCTTGGGACTAAGATAATGTTTAGTTTTAATTTCCTAATTGAGAGAATTAAATTACTTGGGAATATACTTTTCAAATGCTTCTATTGGGTGCATGTTTTGATAAACATTTCATAAGAAATCTTACTACAGTAGAGTCTAAATGCTTACGGTGATCTCAAGATTTTTCAACTGTTGCATACAGATCAGCCTTTATTGGAATAGAATCCCTAAGTGTTACACTTAGTAGCTGTAGTATGTTGGATACTATTTATTTTAATTCTAAAATTTACCAACAAAGTTGTTTAAATGCCTCTAAACTATTTTGCCATTCGTCTTTATTTTATTGAAGATATCAACACTAAGTTTAATAAAATGTTTTAACCTTTTTTCTTTAAATTTGCATGTTATACCCAACTGTTAGTCCCTTCTCATTTCCAACTCCTTTTTCCCCCATACATACGTGCTTGGGCACAGATAATTAGGAGATGTCAGTGGGCAAGTTATAGTTGTTAAGTTTGGAATTTTTCTTGAAAGATAGGAAGTATATTGCCATAAGTACAGATTTAAGTAGGTAGTGTTGAACTGCAGCAATAAAGGGCATGGAACCTTATTTTTGCAGTTTAGATGAAAGGACCAAGATTTGTGATAGTAGTAAGTTGAGCTTAGATTTAAGCTCTTGGAATATTATTTCCAAATCTGACACACAGAATACTACTTTATATGTACATGTGCCACCACGATACTCAGTTTAATATTCCCCCTTTTTAATAGCATTAACACACAATCTTGTGCATTTTGTATAACCCCAATATAAGTTTCTTTTTCAGGCTTTGGAGATTAGTTAATAGGTTTGTTAATTTCTTAACAGCTTCTAGAAATGTGTTCTGGTCATTTTAACTTGACTGCCCTGTTGACCTAATTAGTAAATACCACACTTCATTTCTACTGTTTTGCAAGTTTTTATGTACTGAAATATCCTGTAAGGTGTAAATTTCTTACTATAATAGTAAAACAAGGAGAAGAGATTGAAGGGGTTAGATCATAAAGAGAAAAAGTAAATGTGGCTAGCTCCAGGAAGGAAAAGTTGTTATTGAGATATGCTTTGTGCTCTGTATTATAACTTGTTTTTCCAGTAGTACGCTCACTTTAAATGTATTTTCTGGTTGATTTTTGTGACCAAAAGTTTTATTTTTATTACTACTTCCTAACACATGAACTTTTTGAAGTTACCTTTTTGACAGATTTTGCCATTGTTTGACTCCATTTGACAGAGTTTTCTTTAAATTCTTTGTGATCAATTTAGGGTTATGATACTACCAGGATTACATGATCTGTAAATATCTGCTTATGTTTTCTTAATCACCAAACATGTGAACAATGAGAGTACTTTAAAAGTACCACAGACATTTTTGTATTTATCCTTAAACTCATCTCTTTAATAAATTGTTTTCTTCCATTGAACAATATACTTCTGAAATACTCCATATTTGAGAATAAATGCCGTGAGGGATTTTGGTATAGTGCCACATACGGATTTGGGGTTAGAAAACCTTAGATTAAGTCCTGACTGTGTGCATTCTGGCAGTGTTGCCATATTGTATAAGCAACTCAACATTGCTAGAAGTAAAAATGAATATTTGTGAAATAGTTTATTGGTAGTAAAGCTTTTTATAAATATTAGTATTCATAACTACAGAAGTTAAGCCTCTCAGCTTCATAATTTTTTTTTGGCGATACTGGGGTTTGAACTCAAGGGTTCATACTTGCTAGGTAGACACTGTACCTCTTGAACCATGCCTCCAGCCCATCAGCTTTAAAATCTTTGGAAAAAATTAAATGATTTTTCTTAAGAATCTCAGATACAGAAAGGTGGATTTTGTGTTAATATGTAAGATCTTTATGGTGCTTAGTAAGAAATCTTACAACATGCTTTTCTTTATTTTAATAGGCCTTCACTATTCTGTGTGATATTTTGATGATCTTCAGCCATCAGATTATGTCAGGAGGTCGTGACATGTTAGAGCCATTAGTTTATACCCCTGATTCTTCATTGCAGTCCGAGTTGCTCAGCTTTATTTTGGATCATGTCTTCATTGAACAGGATGATGATAATAATAGTGCAGGTAATTTTATTTCCATCTGTGTGTCTACCATAAGTCAAATTTAAGTAATAATGATGTACAATTTTGTATTACAGCATATTTTGTCCTTAAAATATGAAAACGGCTGTACTTTCTGACACATTTTTGTCCTATAAAGGCAATGCGATGTTGTAGAATATATAGCCTTTTAAGTTCAATCTTTCTTCTCACTAGCTTTGAGTTTGTAGTTCTAATTGTAGCTACCTCATAGGACTGTGAGGACTAATTAAAATTAAGCAAAGGGACTAGTATAGTACTGGGCATTTCATAGGTCCTCAGTAAAATTTACCTTCTTTTCTCCCTTTTCATTGGTAAGACCAATTTGAGGAGAATGTAGTATGTAAGTAACCTTTTTGTTGAATATTTGTATAAATTTTTATATTTTGAGGATGTTAAACTGTTATTTCTGAATGTCCGAAAACATTTGTGGGTTAGTATGACTTTTTTGTTGTATATTGTAGAGATTATTATATTTTGAGGATGTTAAAAAGCATTATTTCTGAATATTAGAAAAATGTTTGAAATTTCTCTATAAAAGTCTGGGGCAGTACAGAATATTCCTAGGACAATAATCAACCAAATTCTCCTAGTATTCTTCACAGCCTATTGTATGTACAATAAGGTTTTGGAAAAATAAGTAGTATTTAGGTGGCTTCTTACAGGGTTTGTTTTTAATTTGAAGTTACACTTCAAGGAAAATAAAACATTAACGTATATATCCATTTATAAACTGGCATATCACTGCATGTTAGGTTCTAAAACATGTAATTCTTAACATAACTTGTAGCCTGTTTAGCAATAAAGAGCTTTGTGCTCACTTGCTAAAAACTTAGAACACAATTGAGAAATCCAGAGTAGCCAAAACAATTGTCAAAATCCTTGTAATAATGATTATACATACATTACATATCATTTCAGTTCTTTACCTTTCACACCCAGCTGTTTGTTTAGTTACATCTTATTTCTTTTTTTTCCATTTATTCATATGTGCATACAATGTTTGGGTCATTTTTCTCCCCTACCCCCACCCTCTTAATTCTTAATATTCATTTGACACACACTTTTTGGCTAGCAGACAGTTTACTAGATGCTATGGATATGAAAAAGTGAGACATAGTTGTTTCCCTTAAGATTAAATTCAAGTGGAAAAGACATCTAAAAAGTAGTTGTACAAGTTGTGGAGGCATGTAGAAGTAGTTCTAACTGGTTGGCATCTTTGAAAGTAGCTAACAACGAAAATGGATATCAAAACCAGAAGATGAATAGGACTTAAAAAAAAACTTACAAAGAATAGTTGTATTTTAAAATCTGATACCAAATTAGTTTTGGAACATAACCCTTTTGTAGCTGAAGAACTGTCTTGGTTTCATTTATGCCATTGTAAATTGAATGAGAATAAGTTGCAAATATTCCTGAGTTTTCTAGGAGCTTCTTAGTATTGATTCTCTGCAGTGATACCTCTTCTGACTTTTTTTTCCTATTGAAAAAAAAGTATTCTTGATACTTTTTTTTGTTGTACTTGGGTATGAACTCAGGGCCCTGCACTTGCTAGGCAGGTGATCTACCACCCTATCCATTTTTGATTTTTAGTTATTTTTGGAATAGTGTTTCATGTGTATACCCTGGCTAGCCTGGACCACATTCCTATTTATGCCTCCCACATAGCTGGGATGATAGGTGCGTGTTACCATGCCCAGCTTAACGGTTGAGATAGTGTCTTGATAAATTTTGCCCAAGCTTGCCTTGAACCATGATCCTTCTGATCTCTGTCTCCTGACTAGCTAGGTATTATAGACATAAGCTTCCATGCCTGGCCCTGTTTATACTTTTAAAACAAAATATATTCCATTCCTATGATAAACTAAAAATTATAGTAGGTTTGTACATATTCATCTATCAGTCTTTGTAAAATTTAGCTGCATTTGTTTTAGATTTTTTTTTTTAAAGCATAGTTCCAAGAGATCGCCTCATTCATATCCCTTTCTCAATTCCCTTATTCTCCCCTTAACCTAGTGGTAACTGCTAACTCAAATTGGTGTTTATCACACCTTTGCAGTTTAATTTTATTTTTATGTTACATTGTATTTGTTAATTAATTTTCTGTTGCTAACTTCCATTTGAGTGGTGGTATTATTTATTTATTTTTTGTGAGGCTGAGGTTTGAACTCAGGGCTACATGTTTGCAAAGCAGGCACTCCACCACTTGAGCCACACACTTCCAGTCCATTTTTGTTATGGTTATTTTGGAGATGAGGGTCTTGCAACCTATTTGCCCAGGCTGGCCTCGAACCATGAGCCTCCTGATTTCAGCCTCCCGAGTAGGTAGAATGACAAGCGTGAGCCACAGACACCCAGCAATGGTATTACTTTGAATATATTTTTACAAATTTGTTCATACAACTTTTTATTGATTTATATATACTTTCTGAGGTTTAGGATTTTGAACCCAGGACCTTGTGATTTCTCTGCAGAAATCACACTATACCTCCAGCCCTTTAACTTGCTTTTTGAGTTAACATTTTTGAGATTTTTTTTTCAGTATTGACATGTTATTGCAGTTAATTCATGGAATATATTATATGATATGAATTAACCACTATTCATCATATTCCTGATGTCGGGCATTCAGATGATTTCTAATTTTTCCTTGATTGCCAATATGCTTACCTCATTCAACACATGTATAGGTGCTTTTCTAGCTTGTTCTTAAGGATGGAATCATTGGGGGCTCACACCTGCAATGCTAGCTACTCAGGTGGCAGAGATCAGGAGGATCGCAGTTCAGAGACAGCCTGGGCAAATAGTTCGTGAGACCCTATCTTGAAAACATCACAAAAAAAGGGCTGGTGGAGTGACTCAAGGTGTAGGCCCTCAGCTCAAACCCCAGTACTGGGGAAAAAAAAAAAAGGTATCATCTATAGTGTATTTTGGCTGCAAGTTGACAAAGTGGTTATATTATTTTGTCAACTCACTAAGACCATATTATTTCCATTGCAGTTCCTCTTCATATAATGCCTAGACACTTAATCTGACAATACATAATAATATTAATGGGAGGTATTACTTATGAAGGTTCAGTGTGTCGGGCACTTCTCTACATTCTTTAATTCCTATCAGACAAAAGGTGTAATTTTTTTGGTGATACTGAGGTTTGACCTCTGGGCTTTGGGCTTGTGAGGCAGGTGCTATACCACTTGAGCCATTCCTCAAGCCATTTTTGCTCTGGTTATTTTGGAGAATAGGATCTCACTTTTCTTTTTTGGCCAGGCTTCAACTGAACCTAGTTCCTCCTATTTTTCGGTTCCCACCAGAGCTGGGATGGCAGGCATGTGACACCATACCTAACTTTTTCCATTGAGGGAGGTCTCACAAGCTTAACATCATTTCTTCTGTCTGTCTCCTTTTATTTGTATTATGTTCAATAAGCAGCCTTCTGGTTATTACTTGTTTTGGAATGTGGTATATTGTTATAAATTGAGTGGTTATAATTCTTTAGTTTTAATGTTTTTTTTCCTTTTTCACATTCTCAATGAGAAGGGTGAAGATATAGTATGAGTTTTAAAAAATGAAGTAACATGCAAGATGGCTTAATGTATGGAACTTTTCCCCCCAGATGGTCAGCAGGAGGATGAAGCCAGTAAAATTGAAGCATTGCACAAAAGGAGAAATTTGCTTGCAGCGTTTTGTAAACTAATTGTATATACTGTGGTGGAGATGAATACAGCTGCAGATATCTTCAAACAGTATATGAAGGTAATGTTGAAAAATGTATAGCAAGGTGGTTTTTTAATGCTTGATAGAAGTTCTAACATTGGGTTGTATGCTTGATTGCCACTGAATTTTTGAAATCCTAAATTACTTTTGTAGGATTAAAGAAATTTATTCTAAAGAAAGCCTTTTTTATTTATTTATGTTTTTGGTGGCACTGGATTTTGAACTCAGGGCCTCACGCTTGCTAGAGGCAATCTACCACTTCAGCCACTCTGCCAGCCCCAAGAAATTTATTTTAAAATAACACTTTCACATACCCCCACCCCTCCACTCCAATTAGTGCTTATATTTGGGTTGGTGATCATTTTGCATTTGGAATATTGAAAACAGCCTGTCATAATTTAACTGTAATTAGAAACTGCATTTATAATTAAGGTAACGGGATGATGTCTTTTGTCTTTGGGTGGCATGAAAATATGCTAGTTTAGATAGAATTCAGAAGACCTAGCTGGTAGTTTTGACTTGGTTCTTCTATGCATCTTGTGAACTTAAATCACTAAGTACCTTTTGCATTCTCAGCTTAATTATTTAATTTCACTGTGATAAATAAGGTTCCTTTAGGCTCTCAAATTCTGACTTGATTCATAATAGATCATTCACAATTTTTATAAATATGTGAGATTTTAAAGTATTTTTAAAAGGATATTAATTATTCCACAAAATCTGACTAAATATGGTAAGATGATTTTTAATGTTCTTTCTCAAGTGAAACCAATTATAAACGTAAAGAGTTTTTAAGTCTTTGCTTCCAGCAAATAAAGTACGTGTCAAAACTGAGTTAATTCTCTATTTGTATTATTTTACTAAATTATTTTGGAATTTAAACTCTAGTTTAAAAAGCATTAATTATCATGCCAAATGATTCACGTTTCAGGATGATGTTTTCAAATGGATTTTATGAAGTTATTTAACACATTTTAAAGTTTTATATTTTGGTATTTTTGATTAAAGTCAATTTTGTAAAGTCATGTCATACTCAGTTACCTCTGATAATTGTCATATATGTATTTACAAACACTATCCTAAGTTAGGATGTCAAACATAGTAAGTTTTCTTTTACATGTTGTTTATAGACCCTTAGTCTCTATAAACCAAATTAGTAAAGTGCTCATTGCCTTACATTCTCATTAGTAATAAGTTATGAAAGTAATTGTGATTATATTCATTGTCTGAGTAGTTCACAAAGAGAACTTTGTTTATATCCTTTGTGCTACCTATGAAACTTTGTATGACCTATTTTTTAAAATCTTATTTCATATCTCCATTATTTAAAACTGGAACTGTTTAGTGTTTCTGAGTTTAATGAAGTTAGAGATTATATGCTTTAGAAATGACCTTAAGTGATAGTGTTTTGTGTCTTTGAAGGCATAATTTCAGCCAAATACATGCAAGACTAAAGTAAAATTAGTCTTATTTTCAAATTGTTTTAAGAGAAATGCTCTAATTTTGTACAAATTTCTTTTCCAGTATTATAATGATTATGGAGATATCATCAAAGAAACAATGAGTAAAACAAGGCAAATAGACAAAATTCAGTGTGCTAAGACACTTATTCTCAGTCTGCAACAGGTAAGACATGAAGAGTACCAGCTTCAGTTGACATAATTGACACTTAATAACTGATAAGGTAACAGTTGACACTGGATAAAAGATGCAAGAGACAATTTATAAAAGTTAGAAAACATTCAAACGCACTAGTAGATAAGTATGAGATTATTTTTTGCTTTTTGACTGGTTGGCAAAACCTATAGCTGTCCAAGGTATGGAAGGCATGAGTATGGTAGGCAGTTTGGCAATATGTAAAAATTTTTAACATTCATGCCGTTTGAGGTAGCAATTTTCCTTTAAAAATTTATCCAGGGTGGTACTAGGATAAGTTTGTAAAACGTGGTGTATATGATTATATATTGCAACATTTTTTCTAATAGAAAGGTATTATAAATAATTTAGAAGTCCATCAATAGGATATTAAATATTTAGTGCATTTCTGAAATGGCTAATTATGTAGTATTTAAAACTTTTAGGTACATATTCATTAGCATGTACAAATTTATAATACACAGTTTGAGAAGAAAAGTAAGATTTTAAGGACAGCATCCTTGTAAAAGTGTACCTATTCCTGTGTATCTGGAAAAATAATCACTAAAATCTTAGTAGTTGTTAACTTGATTTGGTGAGTTTCAAGTGAATTCTGCCTTTTTAAAAATACATTTCTAAACTTATTTTAGCATATTTATGAGTTTCATAACCAAAATGCAGGGTTATTTCATTTTGGCAGTGGTGAGGCAGGCTTAATTGGATAAAATTACTTGCTTAGAATACTTTTGTCTTTGCATACAAAACATACTCTAGCCCATTCTAATTTGATGAACTTTTTGGTTTTTTTTGTGGGGTGGCGGTACTGGTAGGGCATCACACCAGGCATTCTACCACTCAAGCCTCACTCCCCTCTGTTTGCTTTAGTTAGTTTTCAGATAGGGTCTCAGTTTCTGTCCAGGCTGGACTCAAATTGGGATCTTCTCTGTCTCTTCCTCCTGAGTAGCTGGAGTTACAAGCATTAGCCATCACACCAACCTTTGTGAACTTTTTTGCATCTTGGAAATGACGATTCTTAATTTGAGTATTTGTTAAAATTAAAATGTAAAAGGTTTTGCAGATTGCGTTTAAATAACTTTTGCTAGGGCTGAGGAAGTGGCTCAAGTGATAGAGTGCCTGCCTAGCAAATATGAGGTCTTGAGTTCAAATCCCTGTTCGCACCCCCCCCCCCAAATCTTTAGCTATAAAAAACCTTCTCACTGGGGGAAGTTTATAAAATAGAATATTTTTGGAGGGATGGAGCAGAAGGTGTGTTTTTTATTACCCCCTCCCTCAGTTTTATGAAGGTAGAATTATATAATGAAAATTGTATGTATTTATAGTATACATATAACAAAGCATTAAGATTTGTTATATACATTGTGAAATGATTTTAATTATTGTAAGTATTACCTCATAATTTATGTGGTAAGAGCATTTAAGATCTACTTTAAGCAGTTTTCAAGTGTGTGTGTTTCTGGGGATTCAACCTAAGTCCTTGCACAGTCGCACCCCCACCCTTCCAGTACCTTATTTTTAACTATGCTCATTATACTGTACATTTGACCATCATAACTTATTCATACTGTCTAACTGAAACTTTGGTCAAAAACCTCCCATTCCTCTGCTCCACCGTCTAAACCCCTGGCAACCGTCAGTCTATTCTCTGCTTCTATGACTTCAATATTCTTGAGTTTTATGTCAGTATTACCACCTTGGCTTTTTGCGCCTATGTTATTTCATTTAACGTAATGCCCTCCAGGTTCATGCTTTCAGAAATGACATAATTTTCTCCCTTTTCAAGGCCAAATATTCCTCTGTGTATGCATGTACACATGCCACATATTCTTTTATTTGTTGACAGGTAGATACTTAGATTGATTCTGTGTTTTGGCTATTGCGAATGATGCTACATTGAACACAGGAGTGCAAATGTCTCTTGAACATTTTCTTTGGCTGTAAACCTAGTTTTCAGCATTTTAATATTCCATTTTATAGATTACCCATAATTTAACCAGGTTCTCTTTTGGTTTGATTTTGAGATCTTTTTACAGTTTTTGCCATTATAAGTAGCACTAAAACATTTTTGTATTTTGTATTGCAAATAAATATTACCATTTCTTTTGGATAGAATCCTAAAATTAGAATTGCTTAATCAAAAGGTGTCAAAATGCTAAAAACTTTCACTGTTTTATGATGAAAGAATTTAATGTGAAGATTCATTACTTAAATGTAAATAATAGCCTAACATTTGTGAATCCCTGGGTTTTATCCCCAGCAACCCCCCCCCCAAAAAAAAAACACAACAGCATAGTTACCTAATAATTTAGTGGATTTCTTTTTTCTTTATATTGTTATATGCTCTGTTAATACCCAACCAGTTAATCCTTAGTTACCAAAAAAATTAACATGCTTTTCTTCTTTCCCAACAGCTTTTTAATGAAATGATACAGGAAAATGGCTATAATTTTGACAGATCATCTTCAACATTTAGTGGCATAAAAGAACTTGCTCGACGCTTTGCTTTGACTTTTGGACTAGATCAGTTGAAGACAAGAGAAGCCATTGCCATGCTACACAAGTAATTCCAAATATTTTATTCAGTGCTTGTGGTTTAGTCATGAAACTTTTTCTCCAGCCCTTTCATTTGGAATAGCTTAATTTGTTTATTATTAGTTTATAAATCTGTACCATATCTTTCTTAAGTTTAAGAACCAGTTCTAATACTGTTTCAATAAATAGGTGAGGACTAAAACTCCCTTAGTAAGAAATTCTTTGTTTCAATTAAAACAATACAAAATCTTTACAAACTATAATAAACAAAGCAGCATATATTCATCAGGCATTAGAAAATCTACAATCAGCTTTTGCTATACCCTAACTGCTATCTTTGAGGTGTTACTCCTTTCTTTCCAGTTTTCTCTTTGTAGTTGTTTTGTATTTTGTAGTGACCCTTTCAGTTATATTGAGTCACAACCTTCTTTTGTTTGCATATTTTCTTCCCCTTACCAAAATTGGAACTATATTGGGAATATAATTTAGCAATAAATTAAACTTTTTAAGTATGGGTACACTTTAGAGTCTTAACATAAACAACATTTACATATTAAGTCCCTTTAACCCTAACTGTGGGTTAAAGACTTTGTTGCTGGGAAAACCCAAGAGCCTTGGGCTCTTATTTCACTGAAAGTTTTGTGTGTCTCTTATTTATTCATATTACGTAATGTAGTTTTTAAAAAATCTTACATGTCTTTCTGCAAAAAATTTCCTGTTTTTTGCTTGTTTTTCCCGTGCTTTCTCCAATTTTTTTTTTTTGTGGGGCTTGAACTTGGGGCCATCACCTTGAGCCACTCCACCAGCCCTATTTTTTTGAACAGTTTTTCGAGATAGGGTCTCTTGAACTGTTTGCCTGGGCTGGCTTCGAACTGCTATCCTTCTGATCTCTGCCTCCTGAGTAGCTAGGATTGCAGGCGTGAGCCACGAGTGCCCGGCTGCCTTCCCCTTCCTCTTGCCTTTCATCTTAGTCTAAAATTACCAAATTCATTTTTTGCCTGTTCATGTATTTGTGGTAATTTTAGGTAATATTTAAGGAACATACACACACACGCACATGTGTAACATGATTTTCTTCAATAGCCTTCTGTTATCCTTCCCCAGTTCCATCAGCATTTTTTAACCAGTTACCTTTTTGGTACAGTATGATGTTGGATTGTTATCTTGATTAATTGATATAAATTACCATATAAATGCAGTCAAAATAGATGCTGATTATAGTTTAATTTTAAACCTTGTAACAAGTCATTATAAGTAGTCATTAATCATTATTTTTATGTTAGTCCTGTGTGTTAGAGTAGTTCTTTATATCTTGAAAACCAAAGATAATGTACTGATAATGTGTCACAAAATGATGTGATAGAATTTGTTATTTTCTATGGAAAGAATGAAGATCGAATACCATGTATGATGGTGTGCACCTGTAGTGCCAGCTCTGTGTGTGTTTGTGTCTGTGTGTGTCTGTTGTAAAGAAAATTGATAGTGACATAAAATATAATTTGCTCGTTCTTACATGTATAGCTTCCTTACTTTGTATTCCTCAAATTCAAAGCATGACAAAATATTTTAGTAGTGGTAAGTTAGCTTTCTAAGTTACTACACTTTTTATTAAAATAATTTAAATATTTCAATTTTTTTTCTTTGCAGAGATGGCATAGAATTTGCTTTCAAAGAGCCTAATCCACAAGGAGAGAGTCATCCACCTTTAAATTTGGCATTTCTTGATATTCTCAGTGAATTTTCTTCTAAACTGCTCCGACAAGACAAGAGAACAGTGTATGTATTTGCTAGAAATGTCCTATTTAATTTCATTTTGGATCTTAAGAGTAATTATTATACTTCATTTATCTTCTTTCCACATTTGTAGTATTAGATTGATAAACAAAAAACTTCAGTTTCTTCATTTTAATGATTATAAATACATTCTATGTATAAAACTCCATTTTAATATTGTGGGTTCCCCTTCTAGCTTAATAGTGGTTTATGAGGTATAACTTGAGTGCCTTATGTATTCTTACTTGCATTCTTGCCATAGTCCTAAGGAGGGAGCATTTCAAAAAACAATAATATTGAAAATCAATCAGGAGCATCCTAGTTAGTGACTTGAGCTGTGCCTACGCTGCAAAGAACTCTCTGTTTCATTTCACTACTATTCCTTTCCTCAACACAGTATTTTTTTTTTCATTTTTCTTTTATTATTCATATGTGCATACAAGGGTTCATTTCTCCCCCCTGCCCCCACCCCCTCCCTTACCACCCACTCCGCCCCCTCCCTCTCCCCCCCACCCCCTCAATACCCAGCAGAAACTATTTTGCCCTCATTTCTAATTTTGTTGTAGAGAGAGTATAAGCAATAATAGGAAGGAACAAGGGTTTTTGCTGGTTGAGATAAGGATAGCTATACAGGGCATTGACTCACATTGATTTCCTGTGCGTGGGTGTTACCTTCTAGGTTAATTCTTTTTTATCTAACCTTTTCTCTAGTACCTGTTCCCATTTTCCTATTGGCCTCAGTTGCTTTAAGGTATCTGCTTTAGTTTCTCTGCATTAAGGGCAACAAATGCTAGCTAGTTTTTTAGGTGTCTTACCTATCCTCACCCCTCCCTTGTGTGCTCTCGCTTTTATCATGTGCTCGTAGTCCAATCCCCTTTCAACACAGTATTTAACAGGGAACTTCTTTGGGTTAGTCTCCTAAAATTATGATTTGCAAGAGAGACCAAAAAATGGATTTAAAATTCCTTCCCCTTGGCTTTGAAGTATAAAAGGTTGGAAGAATATAAATATCTCATGCTATAATCTCTTCTGAAAACCCACCAGTATTCTGTGTTTAGAGATACGTGTGCATATTTTTTTATAGAGTTCTAAAGAAGAGAAAACTAACCTATGATGATAGAAATCACAATAGTGATTGGATTTATTGAGTGGGAAAAGAGACACTATAGTACTTTCTTGAGTTATGGAAATGTTCTGTGTCTAGTAAAAAGACATACTGAACAGTTACCACAAAACAGTAACTGGTGTCTCCTATGCTGGTAAATTTGAATTGATTGAAATTAGTTATTGCAATAACAATAAATATTTGAATTGTACTTTACAGTTAGTTGACATTAGTTGCCTTCATTTATTCTAAACATTATTTAACCTTACTTAATTCTTAGTGTCAGATCTTGGGACCTGAATCATATTTATGCTGCTCTTTGTTAAGATCATGGACACATTATTTCCTATTTTTTTTCTTATGTCTTTCCTTCTCTTTACAATGCAGGGAATATTTTCTTCACATAATTGTAGGAATAGTTCAGGAACTTGAAAGAAAAAGTGCATATTAGTCACATGAAAGTTAGTTGAATTTTCATTGCCCTGTGATGCTTGGATCTAAATAGATTTGACTTTCATCAGACTGAAATTGTTTTTTGCAGTTAGGGAACATAATGTTACTCATTTTTCTGTATCCTCTGTGCTTGTGATGTAGTAACTGCTTGACAAATGTTAAGCTGAGATGATCCACTGGGGTTTGAACTCAGGGTCTTGTGCTTGCTAGACAAATGCTTTACCACTTGAGCCATGCCTCCAGCCCTTCAATGTGAAAAATTTGATAGAGGTAAAATTGCTTATCAGTGTCCTGATGAGGGTAACATTGAGTAGTGAAGTTGTGTTCACACAAAGAGTTGATAGAACTAGCAGTTTTATGCATCAAAGTTAACAGTTTGTAACTTTTTTTCAAGGTATGTTTACTTGGAAAAGTTCATGACCTTTCAGATGTCACTCCGAAGAGAAGATGTGTGGCTTCCACTGATGTCCTACCGAAATTCTTTGCTAGCTGGTGGTGATGATGACACCATGTCAGTCATTAGTGGAATCAGCAGTCGAGGGTCAACTGTGCGGAGTAAAAAATCAAAACCATCTACAGGAAAACGGAAAGTAGTTGAGGGCATGCAGCTTGCTCTCCGTAAGAGTATAGTTTATTCTGTTCATACTTATTCCTGATGTTTATCAACTAAACTGTCATTAAGGTTTTCCTTATTTTTCATTTGATAAGTATTCAATAATAGCTTATGTAATGTGCCGATCATGTGTAAATGTGGTACTTTAAGCATTTATACATTCATAAACTCACTTCTGACAACTTAAGGAACATCTTATTTTTCAAATGAGAAAAGTAGCAAACAGAAATTAAGTAACTTTCCCAAAGTCACATAGATACTCTGTAGGAGAACCAGATAGTCTCATTCTAAAACACTTGCGTTTTAATCACTATGTAATACTATATGCATCGTGAAATGGTCTCTGTATTATAAAAGTAGTTATTTCCTAAGAGAGCAGATTATCTAGTTTTAAATGGAGCAAGAGATTCACAGAGATTGCAACCTCTGAATTTCTATGAAAAAATAGTAAACGGTGAAGAAGTTGATAGAAGGAGCTTTCTATCATATTGGAGGAATGTATTACCATGCTTCATGTTCTTGGGCTCCTAGCATTCCAGGGTTCATTATGGGCCTGGGGATTTTTTAAGAGCCTTTATCTTTTTTGGTGTTACTCAAGTTTGAACTCAGGGTCTTGGGCTTGCTAGGCAGATTCTCTACCACTTGAGCCATGCCACAAGCCTTTCAGGGGCCTTTGAAACAAATTAGCACTCATCAAAATTTGTTTCAGTTATTGTTGCCGAGTAACAAAGTACCTCAAAATCCAGGACATAGAAAGAATCATAATATATCCTGCTTCAGAAAGGAAGACTTGAAGTTTGATTGCTGCAATCATATGGAGACATCTTCACTTACATATTTAACTTCAGCTGGACCCAGAGCATCTGTATATGACCTTTCTGTGTCAGCATGTCACTGGGCTTCAAGAGCTAGTATCCCAAGAGACAAGGAAGTGGAAGCTGCCAGTTTCTTAAGGCCCCACCCAGAAACTGGCATAGTGTAATTTCTGCAATATTTTATTGGCCAAGCAATCACAGAGTTTCTAGTGGAAGAAGCACAGCCTCTGTTTTGGTTTTGTTTTGTTTTTTAAGACTAGGTCTAGCTATGTAATCTAGGCTGGCCTTGAATGTGCAACCCTCCTGCCTCTTGAGTGCTGGGATTGCAGTTGTATGCCACCATATCCAGCTCAATCCTTTACTACTTAATGTGAGAGTGTCAAGTAATTTTGGGACCACTTTTTTAAACAGCCACATAATTTATTAGCTGTCATTTATCATTGGTTATACAGTGTTAAAAACTTGATTGTCTTAAGGATAAGAGATTTTAGTATCTTTTGTCCAGTCATAACTTTATACTTATAACTTGTACCATTTTAAACTTCATTGGTTGTATAGTCCCAGCACCACAGTTGATGAGGGAATAACTTAAAATAGTTAGGATTAAAATTTTCTTTGGCAATATTGGGATTTTAACTCAAGGCCTAATGCTTGCTAGGTAGGGAGTCTAGTGGAGCCACATTCCCCACCCTTTATTTTTGTCAAATGAAAAGATGTTGCTTCTTGCATATCACTGTAAATCTTAAAAAACTTTACACCCTTGATCCAATAGTTAATAAGTAATAGATTTGTGCTTAGCCTTCAAATTTTTCATGTAAGATTCTATGAAACACTTGTGCATTGATATTTATATAAAATCTTACAAGTATATTATCACACCAGATATATTTTATAGAAAGACTCAATCTTTTCTGGTATTTGGAGAGAGCCATAGATATTGAGGCATTAATAAATTAGAAGGAAGTAGGATACATACTGATAAGTTCGCTAGGTCCAGTGCCACTGTTGGACCCTAAAGAAAGGAGAACTCAAAGGCTAATAGTATAATATGTGCAGTTTATGTCTATTTCATCTTTTGCTAGAATATTAACACAATTTTCTTACAACTCTTCAAAACTTGCATCCATGTGTACATATATAGTCTTCTAACAAAATAGTTTTCCTTTAACGCGGAGTCAGCCACCAATTTTACCTCCCAAATCAGTGATTTAAAAAATTACTACTGCTCAGGTGGGGATGGCTCAGGTAGAGTGCCTGCCTAGCAAGCATGAGGCCTGGAGTTCAGAACCCCAGTGCTGCAAAAAAATTTATTACTGGTGGATGTATGGTACATGCCAATAATCCTAGCATTCACAAGGCTGAGGCAGGAAGATTGCAGGTTGGAGGACAACCTGGGCAACATATCAAGACCCTGTCTCAAAAGAAGCAAAACAAAATAAGACACAAACACACGTACAAAAGAATAAAGAATTGCTGTTAGTTGAGTAGCACTTGCATGTGAATTCTGCTTTTTAAATCACAACCACATTTGAGGAAAAAAGTAGATTTTGTTGTCTGCAACCTGTTTGTGGGTGAGTTTCTTTATGTTTCTTTATGTTTCTTTTGAAAGCATAGATGGAAATCAGGGCCTTGTGCTTCCTAGGGAAGTGTTCTACCACTGGAACCATAGCTCAAACCCCACCTCCTTTTTTTGTTTTGCTTTATTTCCCAGATTGTGTCTCATGCTTTTTTGCCTGGGTCCAGCCTTGGAACAGAATCCTCTCATATAATGGATTATAGGCGTGTACCACCATGCCTGCCTTATTTGGGATAGGGTCACAATAGCTTTTTTGCCTGGGCTGGCCTTGATCCTCAATCTTCCTTTCTTCACTTCCCAAGTAGCTGAGATTACAGGTCTGTGCAACAGTTTGTTGTATTTAGTCCCAGGTTTAGTATACATATGGATTTATGGTCCCTTTGCAGTTCTTAAGACCTGTTCAGTCTACATTCCATAGATTGGAGATCATTCTCCTGATGTCTCCATTTTTTGTATTACATTTTAATTACGTAGACCATATAATTAGTCTCCTATCTGGCCTGTGTACTCATTAGTCTTATTTATTTATTTATTTGTTTCTTGGTGGTACTGAGGGTTGAACTCGGCTTCACGCTTGCTAGGCAGGTGCTCTACCACTTGGGCCACACATCTACCTCCAGCCCTAGTCTTCCTATTCTTAAATCCAGCTTCTGTACTGCCACCACACACTAAAGCTTATAACTCCCCAAATTGATTCCATTCCTTAAAACTTTCAGCAGCCTGAGTTGGAACCCCATTCTCACCAAAAAATAAAACACACACAACAACAACAGCAAAACATTTAGCAGTTGTTTCCTGTCACTTACCGCCTTTGCACAGATCACTAGATTTTCTCTATATTGATTCCATTTGGCTTTTTTTTCTTTTTGAGACTGAATCCCAGGTCTCCTTGGAACTCATGATCCTCCTTCCTCCCGTCCCTGAGTGGTAGAATTAGAGGTGTGCACCACCCACCATGCCTGGCTATGTATTGAATCCTTATTTAGCCAGTCTTATCTTTCCCCATTCTTTTGATCTTTATACCCTAAGAGTAGCAAACTATTAGTTTGAACTATATGAAGTTGCCACTTTTGTATGTCAAATATCAGTAAATTAATGTGATTCAGTCATTGTTGTCTTACGTCTCAGTGCTGTTACATTCTTCCCCATGCCTGGAAAAGCCTTCTCAGCCTACTTAATACCTACCCTAATTAGAAGTTGCTTCTGAGTAACTGCCTCTAATCTCTCTTACTATTCTATTTCCCTTGTATTTACTTTCTCCTAGCATTTACCACACACCATATTGTGATTGCTTATGTGTTCTTTCTTGAAAACTAGGGCAGAATGGGAACTGTGTCTTACATACTTTCGTGTTGTCTTGTTTCTAGCATTAGCATGTGGATAGCAACCAAATGTTTGTAGATTTGAACAGGTTGTATTAGACATCTGATTACTCAAAATTAGTGACTAAGCTTCAATGCTATAAATTTTCTCTTTCAGCGGAAGAAAGCAGTAGTAGTGACAGTATGTGGTTGAGCAGAGAACAAACACTGCACACCCCTGTTATGATGCAGTCACCACAGCTCACCTCCACTATTATGAGAGAACCCAAAAGATTACGGCCTGAGGATAGCTTCATGAGTGTCTATCCAATGCAGACTGAGCATCATCAAACTCCTCTTGATTATAAGTAAGTACATTTGATCATCTTCTGTTCTAGAACTTTATTAATTACATAGAAAAAAGTTAAGTTAAAAGAAGAATAAAATTCTCCTTGAAGCACGCAGGTAACATGGATGTTAGCTCAAAGACAACAAGAGGAAGCAAGGCAACAGCAGGAGAGAGCAGCAATGAGCTATGTTAAACTGCGAACTAATCTTCAGCATGCCATGTAAGTGAGAGTGCCTTATTGTCTGAGTCTAGGAAGTTCACTAATTCATTTTAACATATTTTAATGTGTGCCTTATCTAAAATTTCAGCAAACTCTCTAGAGTAACTAAGCTGAAATAATCAAGGAACTAAAAATTGGTCTTTCCAACAGAAAATGTTTTAAAAAGTTAAATATTTACTAGTTAGCTAAAGGACCAATACATTATAGGTTGATCTGTTGGAAAAGTTTAAATATGAGTCCTTGTTTATTTTGGTACACAGAATTAAAAATACATTTCTGTCACATCTTAATTGATTTTCCCACCTTAGTTCAGGCCCTCATCTCTCACCTGAACTATTGTATTAGCTTTCTAACTATGGTTTTTCTCACCTCAATTACCCCATTTATCCTCTCACCAAACCCCTCCCTTCACACTCCCACCACTCCATTGTTCACAGTGCCATCAAGAATTAGTATTATGGAATAAAATTCTTAACCATGTAACTCTCTTACTTAAAACTTTTCCATGGTTCCCATTGCTTACTGGATAAAATTCAAACTCTTTAGCTCATGGCATGCAAGATCCTTTGAAATATAGCCCCTGACTATGTTTTAGTATATCATATCTCATTCCCTGGCTACTGATAGAATCATCGTGAAAGAACAAGCTCAGGTGTCACCTTAAGTGAAGCTGCAGTCATCTATGCTTCCATAACACTATGTATAGTCATATTTCTTATAGCACTTGCCATGTCGTATTGTAATTATCTGTGTATGAGTTTGTCCCCTTCTAGACTGTGAGCTCCTCAAGAGCAGGGACCCCATTTATTGCCTATTGCTGCTTGGCACTAAAGGTGTGTGCTAATAATGTTTATCAAATGAGTAAATGTTCTGTGCCTAAAAATTTGTAGTTTTCCTGTTTTTACTGGATTCTGTATGGGAACTTTAGAAATCTTGGTTAGCTTTAGCTCTAAAAGAAAGAACAGAAAAGTGGTCTTTAGAGAATGTTTTATTTGTCTTGATTGGTATGCAGAGGAAAGTATGGTGATTCAAATTACTTCTTTTTGAGTTTGAAAGCATTGTAACGTAATGAGGTGTATGTTTTAGTACTCGGAGGTAGTAATTGTTATTTATTTTTAAAATTTATATATTTTTTCATTTTAAGATTATATATACATATATTCACTTTAATTACATTATTTGTTAAAGGTATGGATTATGATTCTCAACTTGGCAAGTAAGGTTTTCATATATACTATTGGTCCTCCTTTCTCTGTTTCCCTGGCCATAAAGGGAACTTTAATATGTGTTTTTATTTTATTTTTTCCTGAAACTAACTTCTTAGCTTCTAGTCAGTCACTAATCTAGAATTCTGCCATGCAATCATTTGGTCTATATCTCTCTCCTGAAAACTTGTTCTCAAGAATATCAGTCCCCAAGATCCTCTAGAGCATGTCATTACACAGTACCATTTATCATTATTTTTGTTTGCAGTTTGTTGTAATGCTTAATTGTAGGTAATCCTCTCCCCTCACCAAGGAAACTAAAATGGATTATCTAAATTAAACAACTATGATCAGAGGATGCTTTTCGTTTTTGTGTACCATAAGTTGGGTGCTCCATTGAATTTAAAAGTACTTTAGTTTTACAGTGATGTTTCAGTAATGGTATCTGCCCTATAACTAAAAATACTTCTGAAATTATCTTTTTTACCTTGTGTTATATCACATATATCTTCTTTATACTTCAGGCAGAATACAGATTGGATTTCTAGATTTTGATTACATGGTCTGCAAAACACATATTCCCTTCACAGCCCTACAAAATGCAGTAAAGTTGTCTTTCATTATCCAGAGTTGTTAGGAATATTATCCACCTATTATTGTCCAGGTAGCCTGCATCAGATGTCATGTCTTGTTATCTTTATATCTTTTCAGATCCAACATAGTATTGTATACATAATAAGCATTTAGTAAGCTATCATTGAGATTTGGTGGGTCTTTTTTGGGGGGCCAGGTATCTTTGAATGACAAAAGAAGGTAATGTCAGCTAAACTGGGAAGCAAGAAGTCGCATTCAATTTATACTGATCTGGGTTAATTTGTGAACTTAATTTACTTGCCACCATGATTGTGTGATGAAATTCAGAGCTTTGGATCTTAATTTTTATTATTCATTTCTATATAATGTCTTAAGTTTTAATTTTTCATAGGGCACAATAATTCAAGTTTAAGCATTAAGTGCTACTCATTTTTTCCTGAGGGAGAATTAATTCTTTCCATATATCCTTACAGTACTTAATGCATAGTTCTGTTGTAATAGTTATCATATTGTCTTTATCTCTGTGTTACCATAGTAGACTGTGAGCTCCTTGAGGGCAGGAACCATGTTTTATTCATACTCTTTTGCATCCGTAGGTCATAGTAGAAGCCTGATACAGTATAGGCACTGTGTGAATGAGTGAGTGTGCATGCCAGTTTGCATTAGGTACTGAATGATTGAG